GTATGTGTGTGGGTGTGTCTTGACTGATGAGGTGTCACCATGAGGTGAACTACAGCCAGATGTTTGTGTCTGCTGGTGTTTCTGGTGAAAAACAGAATCTCAATTAAAGACATTTTCTTTGTGTCTCTGTCTCTTGGCTCTGGTTTCCATCGTCCTCCTCTCTCTGTGTGTTTTTCTTCCTCTCTATATTTCTTCCTCTGTCTCTCCTCGTTTCTCTCTCTGGCAGCAGCAGCAGCGGCGGTGGCGAAGCTTCCAGCCAGAGAAATGATTCTGGCTCCGATCATTTTGGCTCTGGGAGAAAAACGCAGCCTGGTGTGATTATGATGAATGTGTGGCAGCGAGATGTGTAATTTACCTGTCGGGGTTATCGCACACTACGCTTTAATGAGTTTTCCTAAGACCTGAGGAATCTGTGGATGCACATGTTCAGATTTATGGCAGATTATCTCTCTGAGTGTTTTCTTTTTCCTTTTCATGAGCCTGCAGAGCTTTAATAAAGACCGGGCTCTTTCCTTTGTGCAGGGAGTGTTTTACAGCTCTTTAGCCTTCAGCACTCTGTGTACGCTAATGCAGCTGGAAAATGAAAATATGTCAGGAATTATTCAGATCCAAAGAATACCTGCTTAAAAACATTAATCTTCAAAGGGTGCATTTATTTATAAAGATTCACCAGGAGGAATCTCTTAAACACAAAACCTGCAGCTTCAGTCAGCGAAAGGATCATTATGTGTAAAAATAATGTAAAGCTTTTTGACCTCATCGCTCTCGTCATGGAGACGATAATCTCAACACAGCACAGAGTGAAGATACTAATGACCCCGACAGAGGAACTTAAAGGTACAAACCCCCTAGCATCAGGTGTAACAGTGGGCTGGTAGTCAGCAGCTGTGCCGGATCTAATTTGTGTAACAGCAGCAACAGAAAGTTTTCTGATGCAGCAGGGAGTCATGGCTGTTCGGTCCCTCTGAGCTGGGGTTTGTGCTGGCTGGATTCAGGTTGCTGCAACCGTTGATTGGGCTCCAGAGCTGCTGCCTGCTCTCTTCCTGGCAAGGTGGTCTGAAGTGGTGCGGAGTGAGGTGCTGTGATTCATTAGCTACATAAACATGAACTTTGAGCTACAGCCATGAGCTTTTAGCTCCAGTTAGCAGAAAGCTAAACTTTTAGCATCATTTTTCCTCCATCCCATCAGTCCGTCTTTCTCTTTTGGTTGCTTTTCAGTGTAGGCAGTTGTTGCCAATGTTGGAACAGCAACTTTCCCCATCAACGAATCAGACTTCCACCATCTGAAGTGACATTTACGCACATCTGTATTTGTAGAACCGCAAATAGGAACGCCCTCTCCCTGAAATGACCTGTGATTGGCCAAAGCCTCCTGTCACAGGCTAGATTTTGTCTGAAAACGGAGCCAAGAGGAGGAGCAGGGGTCTAGTTTTCTCTCAGATCACTTGAATTACAATATGCTCAATGATTATTATGAGATTTTAGCTCAGTGACGCCAAAATAAAACTGCCTAACTCAGCTTTAAATCTAATGAAAACAGTAACTTTTACTCACAGTGAACAGAAGTCATAGTTTTTATGCCTCTGCACCAGTGATAGCCATGACCGGAGGCTTTATGTTTTCATCCGTATGTCTCATTTTTGTAAACGTGACATGTCAAGAATTTTGGAAATAGGTCAATGTTACTGTGGCCTTGTCTGTCTCCTTCTGGTGAATGCAACATCTCAAGAACACCTTGAGGGAATTTCTTCAAATTTGGCACAAACGTCCACTTGGACCCATCGATGCACTGATAGAATCTTCTGGTCAAAGGTCAAGGTCACTGTGACCTCATCTGTTGCATTCTCTTGAACACAATATCTCAGGAACACTTGAGGGAATTGGTTCAAGTGTGGCACAAGCGTCCACTAACAATAAACTGATTCAGTTTTGGTGTTCAAAGGTCAAGGTCACCATAACCTTGTTCATCACATTCTGGTGAACAGATATCTCAAGAAAACCTCCAGAGATTTTTTTTTAAATTTGGCACAAACGTCTATTCAAACTCAGTAATGAACTGATTAGACGTTGGTGTTCAGAGGTCAAGGTTGCTGTGGCCTTGTCTGTCTCCTTCTGGTGAACGCAACATCTCAAGAACACCTTGAGGGAATTTCTTCAAATTTGGCACAAACGTCCACTTGGACTGAAGAATGAACTGATTCTTTTCCAGTTAAAAACTTGATCTGAGAACAGTTTTAACCGTTTCTTCTGTGTTTTTGAACGGGTTTCAATGCTTTGAGCACCACAAATAAAATCCCGTTGACACCCAGGGTTTGAGATCTCAAAACACACAAAACTGAGATGATTCAGACGCTGTCAGAGGAACGTGACACAATATAGTTCATGAGATGTGAGTGAACTGACACTGTGATGATACTCATCTTATAGCAAAAACACAACTGAGGGCGCAGTGAGGACACAGTGTTACACAGACATGTAATCTACACGATATAAATATCTTGGAGGTTTTTCTTCTTCTGCTCCTCTTTGTCGTGAACGCTCGGTGGATGTCGAGCACCTCCCCTTCTGTGTGTGCTGATTGTTTCAGGTAGAGCCTGCTGTGTGCCGACTGTTGGAGCAGCGGCAGCAGTAAAAAGCATTCACACTGAATCAATGGTGCGTTCTATCAATCCTCCTCACTGAGCGCCAACAGAAGCTTTTCTTTCTGTTACATTACTCTAAAGGACGTTTGTCCTTTCAGTGTGTGACAGCCTCCCTCTGCTCTCATTTGAATCACTTCATCGTGCTGTGTGGGCTTTCTGCTGACGCTCTCTTGTTACTGCGGAGAGAACATGCGATGCTGCTCCGCCCTCCTCCACCCTGCCCGCTCTATTTGCACCCAGACAGCTGAAACATTGCTCCTGTCGCCTCTGTCCCCTCACTGTTCATCTTCTGCCTTCTTCATCACTTTCTCTGTGTCCTGGAGTTTTTCTCCTCCTCCTCCTCCTCCTCTCCTCTGCCTCTCATTATCGCTGGATGCTGTTTTCTTGTCTCTGCTCTCAGATCTAGTTCCCATTTTTCTTTTCTTATCTCTTTCCACACAGATAGCCTCGCTGTGTTTCTCTCTACTTGCTTTTTTACTCTTTCTCTTCTCTCTCCTGTGTGTGTGTGTTTCTGTATCTTGATAAATTATACCACAGTTTTCATCCCTGTGACCTCTGTGTAGTTTTATAGTAGGATCCAGATTCATAATAAGTGTTGTCATCGCTTCTTTAACTGGAATAAAAAAGGTGGCAGTGCAGTAAACCAGACGTTTGCAGGCTCACGGTCATTATTAATTTGAGGGTACAAATGACTGTTTGGAATAATGAAACATTAATGACAGTTAATGTGTATTTAATTACCTGTCGGGCTTCTGTGCAGAGAATTTTGGAGGTGTGAGCAGAAATGAGCTCCGACCCAGCAGCATGTTGTACCTCACACAGAGGAACTGCATCATCAGAAAGGATGTGGTGGTACTGAGCAGCAGAGGAAGGAGTACTAACATCTTTTCCTGAAATGAACGTACAAATGCAGAAATTAGGGCTTGGCGATATAGACAAAATCTTGTTATTTTCAGGCTGACTGGTGATACACAATATATATCTCTGTATTTTCTACGAAATGTTTAGTGTCAAGTCAAAGCCACATTTGAGATGTCACACAAAATGAAATGCAAAGACAGGGGTTTGAAAATATACAGCTGCACAACATGGAAATGAAAATAAATAGCAGGGCTGTACGTTAACGTTTTTGCACACAGCACTGGAGCTACAGAGGTTTAAAGTTTGCAGCACAGGACACTAAACTATGACATGAGTATAAAAGTATCAAGTAGGTTTGAAACAATTAAAAATCTTTGTGGGCGGAGTTAAAAAGTCGTTTTCCATCTTTCAAATGAATCTAGTGCTGGAAAATGATTTAAATATTTTTAATTATTTAGGCTATTGCATAAAATACACCAAGCCTTGTATCGCATGGTTTCAGCAATACCGCAAAATCTTGGTTAAGTAGCCAGTTTCATTGACACTTGCACTTCCCCATGTCGTCCAGGGTTCAGTGACAGCTAGCTTGAAGACAGTGGATCCTTTGAGCATGACAGCTGGAAACAAAGTATGAGGGTTGCTGGTTCAACTATCCTTATATTTTTAAAAAAGAAAAAAAAAAAAGGAACAGAAGGAAAGGAATTATTTTGAGATTTTACAGGAAATCAATTCATAATATCTTTCTTCCCATGCTTTGTTTAACACTTTTGAAAGATTAATTTAAGACAAATTTAATATGAATCAAGGCCTTGTTTTTAGATTAATGAAATCAGTGCCCTTTAAGACTGTTTTTAGAAACTGCAGAACCCTGATTTTATATTAAGGGCCAACCCCAATGCCAGAATAAATGTTGGTATTGTACAGTATGTTTCTGCAAACCACAGATTCATTACAGTTGTGTATTTTATGTGCTGCAGACATGTTGAAACTTTACTCTTCTTTATGTCTCAGATTTCAGTTGTATGTTTCAGCATAGCTGTGGTTAACGTGTTGTTATGTTTAGGCACAAACACCACTCGGTCATGGTTAGGAAGGGATCAGGTTTTGGCTTACATGCTCAGATTAGTCGCAACAAACATGGCTGGAAATGTCCCACATGCCTCCTTGATAATTCCTGCATTTGCTGCCACAAACATTACTGGTCTCAAACAGTGCTCTGCAGCTTGGCAGCCATCCATCATCCCCTCCACTGCAAATATAAAAGGTTTGCAGAAACATACAATGCCAACGTTTTCTTCTGGCGACTGTGCTGCAAGAGTGTAACAGTTTATCACATGGAAGATGTGACACTGCATTTAAAGCATGTTATAATTTTATAATCAGATATGATGGATGATCTGTATTAAATAGTGTGTGTATAAACTCAGCATCCAGTTTAAGTCATGTCTGTCTCTTCCGTCCTCACACTGTTCACTGTGGTGTGTTTGTGTCCTGCAGACTCTCTGTGCATCCAGAGGTTCGACCCCGGGTTGGGACTCATCGCTCCCATAAACCCCCTGATGGCGGGCATCAGCCTGGTTCCGCCCCCGCCCGTACCCCCCGACATGCCGCTCATCAAGGAGATCATCCACTGCAAGAGCTGCACTCTGTTCCCCCAGAACCCCAGTAAGACCCCACACTCACACTGTGTTATATACACACACTCTCACACACTGGGCTGCTGAGGGTCAACAGAGCCGCTGCAGGTCGCAGGTGTGAGCAGGTCTGTGGTCTCAGAGCAGGTACTTTAATGTAGCAGAGAAGTTTACTTCAGAGGAGTGATTAATACAGAGCTGCACATGATGTGATGCAGGCAGGCAGCTAAAAAGGTGCTTTCAGACTCTCCTACCTGCAGGGCTGTTTTTTATTTCCATCAGAGAGAAACAGACCACACAGCAAACAGGGAACAAACACTGGTCTCTTGTTTCGTTGCTCTGGAAATAACAAATCAACAGTAAAAACTAAACAGTGCACGAACCATATGTAATCAGTTAAATCCCAAACAACAACAAGCATGTGAATAAACATGTAAAAAAAATGGACATTGGCCAAAAGCATTAAGATAATAATTATTATTATTATCAGGGGTTTCTTGTCCGCATTGGGCTGATCCGGTTATACTTTAATTGATCGGTATTGGCTCAAATAAAGCCAATTAAAATCCAGTTCTTACGTCACTAAATTCTACTGTGTTTCTGTACTAGTAAGTTAAACCAATTACTTTATAGTTTCAGAATCAGGACCTTCCGTTTTTGGATCAAGGAGCTCATAAAAAAAGTGTTTTATAAATCTTAAAAATCCCATATCAGGAAAAATGGAACTATGTGGTCATCACAGTGATGATACAGATGATGATGATGTTTGTGCTTCAGACCTGCCCCCTCCGTCGACTCGGGAGCGGCCCCCCGGCTGTAAGACAGTGTTTGTTGGCGGTCTGCCGGAGAACGCCACAGAGGAGATCATCAGGGAGGTGTTCGACCAGTGTGGTGACATCATTGCCATCCGCAAGAGCAAGAAGAACTTCTGCCACATCCGCTTCAGTGAGGAGTTCATGGTGGACAAAGCTCTCTACCTGTCAGGTATACAGATACACATTTACATACAGATACAGGTACAGATACATCTATACAGATACAAATATAGACACATCTATACAGATACATGACATCTATACAGATACAGATACATCTATACAGATACAAATATAGACACATCTATACAGATACAGATACATCTATATAGATACAAATATAGACACATCTATACAGATACAGATACAGATACATCTATACAGATACAAATATAGACACATCTATACAGATACAGATACAGGTACACAGACATATATACAGATGTAGATACATGAACAGATATACAGATACAGGTACATCTATACAGATACAGATACATTTTATAGACATACAGATACTATTTTAAAAATGTGTCTACTGCACATACTTTAAAACAACATATTGATGTGGAAATCCCTCCTCTCAGGGTACAGAATGCGTATCGGCTCCAGCACTGATAAAAAGGACTCGGGGAGGATCCACGTAGACTTTGCCCAGGCCAGAGATGACCTGTATGAGTGGGAGTGTAAACAGCGCCTACTGGCACGAGAGGAACGCCATCGCCGCAAAATCCACGAAGACCGACTGCGACCACCGTCTCCTCCTCCCATAGTGCACTTCTCTGAACACGAGGCGGCCATGTTGGCAGAGAGACTGAAAGGTGAGGAGTATCTGCTATATTCTTCTTCTGGCAGAGATGAAAAACAGGATCATTCAGGCACCAGATGTGTTATTAACATTTTAAAGACAGAAGAAGAATGAAATTGACTGTGTGAACTTAGATGCTGAAATTATTTTCTAGTCCAGAAACAACCTTCTCAATAGTCGTGCATGAACAATAGACTGTAAAGTAAAATAGAGTTTTGTTTGCTGTGAGTTCACAGTAACTCATCCACAGAGGCTTCAGGAGGCTGCTGCTGAGAAATCTGCAGCCGGCGTCATGGATACAATGATAAAAAAAAACATTCAGAGAAGCCAATCACTTTTATCAAACACATTAATCTGAATCATGTTCGACCTCTCCGAGCTTTAAAGATTGAGAGGTCACTGTGAACAACGCTACAAATAATGTGATTGTCAGCACAGCTGTTGTCCTGTGTGTGTGTGTGTGTGTGTGTGTGTGTGTGTAAAATCTCCTGTAGATCACCTGCTGTGAAACCTAATAACACGCTGAAGTGAATCATTCAGGAAGCTGCACAATTATTGATATTCTTCATGAGCCAACAGCTCGGTTTGTCTCTGACTGTGTGAAACAACAACAGAACATGTTTGTCTCTGTGTGTTTTTCTAACTGCTCTGGTTATTACACTGAGATACTTCAGAGAGGCGGCAACAAATAACCTGATTAAACAAAGCAGGACGAGTTTCTGTTGTCCATTGTCCCAGGAATAAACATGCCATCTACTTCCTGTGTAGACCAGGGCTGCCCCCAGCTGAGAATTTTCCTCATCAACCAATAGTCATTATTTAGGGCCATTAGTCGACTAGTCACCTGCATGTTTACGATCTTGGTGGTTTGAGTTGAAGGTGTGAGAAAGAATAGTATCAGTAACATTGTATCAACAACACTGTGCTACATTACAGAGAAATACAAAACCGTACTAATGAACCTTCATTAATATAGGCCTATATTTTATCTCCAAGTGCACGTCACACACTGAGCGAGCCGCCTGTTAATGACGCTGTGGGCTAATGGGCATGTAGCTACTTCCATGTTTCAGATGATACGTCATGTTTGTAGTCGACCAATGAAGATGAGTTTACATATCACCTTGGGTTCGTCCTTCACCTTCTCAAAATGATCCCACACTTTGGATTTCCTGCCCGACATGTTATTAACTAGCCTGTGGAATAACCGCAGGTACCAGCCCTGGAAATTAACCTGACTCCTGATAGAGTTTTATGTTTGTTTTTTCTGCAACGAAGCGACCAATGAAATCTTGCCGACTAGCAACCTTTCTGGTCGACTAATGTTTGGTCGACTATTAGGGGGCAGCTCTTGTACAGACATTGGCTGTCTTTACATGCAAGCTAATATTCCACTATTTTTCCATACATGAAAATATTCTGAATTTGATACGGGTCATGGAAACAACATATTCCACTTACATATTCAGAATCAGGCCATTTTCCAAATTTAGCACTGATTGATTGAGACGTGGGATATGGTGATATGTTTCAGGTTTCAGGAGTATTCTTTAGATATTCTTTAACTCTGTGTGCCAGCCTTCAACAAACAGTTTTTCAGACTGGGTTAGAGATAAATACTTTGAGGGAAATTCTCCCCTCTGATGAAGTGATGGCAGGGACGGTTTTTTGCTATGGGCAATGTGGGCGACCGCCCAGGGCACAATCTATGTGAGGGTGCACGAGCCCCTATTATCACGTTTCAACCAGCAGCAGAAAGGAAAGGTGAATCCTGTCGGTTGTGGGTTGAATGGGGGTCACAGACAGGAATACGGCGGAGGCTCATAGTGGGGGTTGGATGGTTTGCCCAGGGCTTTATAACTAGCCAGGACCGCCTCTGAGTGACGGACTAGAGGTGAGGAATCAAGTCTCTTTAAAACATGCAGCATGGAGACAAGACCCAAGTGTTCTCTGCTAACCTTCAGAATATACAGACTTTTATACCGTACCAAAGCTCTGACCCCAATGTCGCCCATAAAACGGATTCACCAATAAAGGAAACTTTCCTCCAACAGATAGAAGATAAATTATTGAATAATTCCCACAATGCCCCAAAGAAAAGCCCACGTCTCTGGTCAGAAGGAGAAATACACCTACTTTCAAACATTATGAAACATTTTTGGATTTGCACAAATATCACAATCTGGTCCTGTTGCTTCAGATTCTGCACACATACACCGATATCTGTTGACAGAGATTATAAAGTTGTGGTCAGACACAAAAAATGAGCTTGAACTCACTAAAGCTCTTTAATGACGAGAGACGAGACCATAGACACACATTTCAAGATCACCATTTCATATCTTGATCGGATAAAGATATTGATTATAGCTGCTTTAAGTATCTGCACAGTCATGCGCGATCCTTCGTCTTGAATTCGAGCCTGTTTCCTGGTGTATTTGTTCTCTTCAGCGTGTGCTGTCTCAGAGTGTTTTGTGTGTTCGTTAAAAAAGGAATCATGAGAATGAATAATTGAGGGGACCTTTCAGAGGCAGGTAAAAACATCAGGACGCAGCTGTTTTAAAATCACCTCAGTTTCAGTGGAGGAGCTGCGTTCACTCTGCAGCAGGACTCACTGCGAATCTAATGACTGTGAAAGGACGTCTCCTCATCTTAAACAGTCTAGTGGAAAACTTTACTGACCCCTGCGTGCATGAATGATTGTGTTTTAATAGAGACCTCTCCCTGTCCTCTCTGTCCTCTCTGTCCTCTCTGTCCTGCTTTGAACCAGTCAGTCTGCTTCTCTGCACGAGGACAAACTGGAGGAGTGAGAGGAAACGTGGGAGTTAACTGGTGGAGGTGTGGAGCGAGAGATGAGGGATGATGTTGTGGAGGAGTGTGAAGGTCACTCCTCCTCCTCCTCCTCCTCCTCCTCCTTCTCCATGTTTCTTGCTGTGGCTGATTTGTATCTCCGTGAGTGATATGCTCCAGTTGTACAGTAGAAAGCTGTTTGTCCTCCTCCACACTCGGCACACTGCTCCTTACTGTTACTGTGACAACATAAGACTGCTTCAGAGAAACTCACCGTCCACCACTCCTGTTGTCTTTGGCTGGATTACATCACTGACTGATATGTTTACAACACGTTTAAACATTAGTTTATAAAGATTAATGATTGACTCAACAAAAGTCAAAACTATCGGATTAATTTTGTTGGCTGTATGAAAACAAATTCTCCATTTCCCCCTTCTTGTTTCTGATTTTTACTCTCAAAGAGGAAGACGAGACGAGTGGTTTATCGAGCTGATATGTGTCCTGTACTGTTAACAGTCATAGTAATAATATAAAAAAAAGAATACATAATGGCCGTCCCATCCATTCTTTTGAACACAATCTCTCAAGAACACCTTGAGGAAATCTCTTCAGTTTTGGCACAAACGTCCACTTGTACTTAAAAAGGAACTGCTTGGAAATTGGTAGTTGAGAGTCAAAGGTCAAGGTCACTGTGACCTCAAATTCATCACATTCTTGTGGACCCAATATCACAAGCAGGCCATCTGGGAACTTCCTTAGAATTTGGCTCAAATGTCCACTTAGACTCAATGATGAACTGATTAGACTCTGATTGGACACAACAATGAACTAGGAATTTGGCGGTCAAAGGTCATTGTAACCTTGAGTCTGTCTGATTCTTGTGAATGTAATATCTCAAGCAGACCTTCAGGGAATTTCCTTTAAATATAACACAAACGTCCACTTGGACTCAACAGTGACTGATCAGACTTTGGTGGTCAAAGGTCACTGTGACCTTGCGTCCATCTCATTCTTGTGAACGCAATATCTCAAGAACACCTTAAGGGAATCTCTTCAAATCTGGTACAAACATCCTCTTGGACTCAAGGATGAACTACTTGGAATTTGGTGGTCAAAGGTCAAGGTCACTGGGACCTTGCATCCATCTCATTATTGTTAACCCATTATCTCAAGCAGACCTTCAGAGAATATTCTTCAAATCTGGCACAAGCGTCTACTTGGACTCAACGATGAACTGATCAGCCTTTGGTGGTCAGAGGTCACTGTGACCTTGCGTCTGTCTCATACTTGTGAATGCAGTATCTTAAGAACACATTTAGGGAATCTCCCAAAATTTGGCTCAAACATCCATTTGGACTTTAGAATGAACTACTTGGAATTCGGTGGTTGAAGGTCAAAAGTCAAAGTTGTTGTTACCTTGCATCTATCTCATTCTTGTTGATGCAATATCTCAAGAAGGCCTTCTGAGAATTTCCTTCAAATTTGGCACAAACGTCCACTTGGACTCAGCAATGAACTGATTAGATTTTAGTGGTCAAGGTCAGTGTGATGGCACAAAACATGTTTTTGGCCATAACTCAAGAATTCATACACTTAATATGACAAAACTTTACACAAATGCCTAACAAGATAAAATTATGATGTTTATATCCAAAGGTCAAAGGTCACCTTCACTGTGACATCATTATGTTCAGCATAAAACACTTGTCTGTCCATTAGTTCGTGTCAAATCTCAGGAACAGAAGGGGAGACATTTGGTCAGATCCTGAATCAGTGACTCTGATCTTGAAACTGTGCTGATTGTGTAGATCTTCTGCTGCCGGGTTGAAGATGTGTGTGAAACGTTCATGTTTTCACAGACGTAAACTGTCTGAATGTTGAATGGTTCACAGAGGCATGTAACCCTGAGGCAGTAATTCTAATTCTCTATTAAAAAGCAGCAGCAGCAGCATGTTGCTTTGCTGTGTCAGTATTTGCTGCTGAATCTCTAATTTACCTCAGAACCTGTGCCTGTGTGCCGCTCCTCATCCATCCTCTAATACCCAACATAAACAAGCATGTTTTCTCTCTGAATAACCTCTTTATGAATTCATTCTTCGCTTCACTCAGCGGGGGAAATAAATTTCCATTCTTCCTGCAGTCGTCCCAGTCGAGCTGTGTTTCATTGTGCTCACTGTAATGTGACTGTAATCTGCTGCTGTGTGTGAATGGGGCTTTATCTGAGTGGGGGGAAAGTGTCTCCTTACAGGTTGTGTTGCAGCGGGTATTGAGCTCATTAAATGCTCTCTAATTCACTCTGTTCTGCCGTCGTCCTCGGCTCCGTGGCTCCGTTCAATTATTATTATTCAAATGGGGGAGAACGCAATGACGGAGGCCCCACAGAGACTTTGCACTCTTTATGACTGACACCGACTGCAGCTCGAGGTTTTGGTTGAAAAGTTAAAAAATCAAAAATGCTCTTTGTGTTCAGTGGCTGTGGCGTGACTCACAGAGCCGTGAACAGTGAACGCCCCCAGAGGAGGATTTCAGTCTTCACTAGCTGCTCTGTTGTTTGTTTAGCCCGACTGAACGTTAAAGGTCCCATGAAATTACTTCACACCCTGCTCTGCAGTCGCCATTTAATCTGATGGTGCATGACACAGGAACAAGCTCACTGAAGTTAAAGTACCACTACAATATAAAAATACTCTGTTACAAGTAAAAGTCCCTCTTTAAAACCTAACTTCAGTGCAGAAGTATTCTTAGCTTCATGTAGTAAAAGTACGTTCTGTAAAAACACCGTCCAGATGTACCTCATATATCAGATAGTTCCTGTCCTGAGTATCTGACTCTGCTGTACCTTTCCCCCTCAGATGACAATAAGTTCAGCGAGGCCACGGCGGTGCTGTTCACCTGGATCGACCGCGGCGAAGTCAATCGACGGACCGCCAATAACTTCTACTCCATGATCCAGTCGGCCAACAGCCACGTCCGGCGGCTGATGAGTGAGAAAGCTCAGCACGAGGAGGAGATGGAGCGCGCCAAGGAGATCTTCAAGAACGCCCTGCTGGCCATCTTAACCCAGTGTAAGGACTCTTTATTTATTATTAACGCATACAGTCGATCAGGACGACCGTCACCGTCATACCTGAGGCTGAGCAGGTGTTCAGGTGAGTTCATCACTTCACTACAGAGAGCATCATGTTTCATAAAGCTTCATCATTCTGAGGAGTGTGAGAATATGATGGGATAAACTGACGCTTCTTAAAGTAGGGTAATAATAGATAAAATAAATACATAGTACCCAGTTGTCCATGGCCAATGATGCTATTAACGCCTAGGTGTAAATAACATTATTGGCTACTCACACTCAGACAGCCAATATGGCTATTCACACCTAGGTGTATATTCCTGGAGGTCCTAGCAACATCAAAATATGACATTAATGTTAACATAAACAGGTCTATTCAGCGATTCTGCTAAAGTACACAATGTGAATTCAGCAGCTTTTTAATAATTATATCCTAAAAACTGAAAAAAGAAATCAACAGTCCCACTCATCCACCACATCTTATTACCGAGATAAACGGTTCAGCTCTTTATATGACATCACCTGACTTTCTGGTCGTACACATGTTTTTTCTTGTAAAGGTACCACTTTAATCTGCTACAGTCAGGGGTTAACCAGGATCAGTTTTATATTGTCGATATTATGTGAGAGTATCTAAAAATCTTCCAACCAGCAGCCAGTATCGTCCCACAGTGTCACAGCGTGTCACGGTGCTGCAGGGTGTGGTGCAGTCTCAGATTACAGAGGTACAGACCATGAAGCCTTTTCCACCACATCCATTTTAAAGCCTTCCTTCCATGCAACTCATTTACTGTGCGAGGATCTACTCAGCCCAGTCTCCATGACAACACTCCCCCATCCGTCTCACCATCAGCGCCATTATCTTCAGCTCACTGTGAGCTGGTGATTGGGTCAGTCGCTCGCTCGGTGACTGATGACCTCAGCTGGGGTCTGAATGCAGGAATGTGTTTCATTCACTGTCACTTCTCTGAAGATTTAAAGCTGCATCAGGTGATTTCTGACCACCGACGTCACATGTAGCTCCTCTGCTTTGGTCTCCACCTGCTCCTGACAAATATACAGTGGTGGAATGTAACTAAGTACATTTACTCAAGTACTCTACTTAAGTTCATTTTCGAGGTACTTATACTTTATTGAATATTTCCATTATCTACTATTTTTATAATTATACTACACTATATTTGATAACCTTCGTTACCTGGCAGATTCAGATGCAGTATATAATTTCTGCTTCTCAGTCAAAACCATATCAAAAGACAGACTTTGATGACGTCGTTAAGTAGCGCTGGATTGTGAGAGTTATGTCTTTAATGGGATTTAGGGGGTGGGAATCTCCAGGCACCTCACGCTTTGATTACGATTCAGAGCAACAGTTTGATGATGAAGCGATTATCGATGCATCACGTGGAGTTAGAATGTTTGATTGTTAGACATGCTTTACTTTTCTCACTGTTTTTAGTTTAGGTAGTTGCACATACAGTACAGGCCAAAAGTTTGGACACACCTTCTCATTCAATGCGTTTTCTTTATTTTCATGACTATTTACATTGTAGATTCTCACTGAAGGCATCAAAACTATGAATGAACACATGTGGAGTTATGTACTTAACAAAAAAAGGTGAAATAACTGAAAACATGTTTTATATTCTAGTTTCTTCAAAATAGCCACCCTTTGCTCTGATTACTGCTTTGCACACTCTTGGCATTCTCTCCATGAGCTTCAAGAGGTAGTCACCTGAAATGGTTTTCCAACAGTCTTGAAGGAGTTCCCAGAGGTGTTTAGCACTTGTTGGCCCCTTTGCCTTCACTCTGCGGTCCAGCTCACCCCAAACCATCTGGATTGGGTTCAGGTCCGGTGACTGTGGAGGCCAGGTCATCTGCCGCAGCACTCCATCACTCTCCTTCTTGGTCAAATAGCCCTTACACAGCCTGGAGGTGTGTTTGGGGTCATTGTCCTGTTGAAAAATAAATGATCGTCCAACTAAACGCAAAGCGGATGGGATGGCATGTCGCTGCAGGATGCTGTGGTAGCCATGCTGGTTCAGTGTGCCTTCAATTTTGAATAAATCCCCAACAGTGTCACCAGCAAAACACCCCCACACCATCACACCTCCTCCTCCATGCTTCACAGTGGGAACCAGGCATGTGGAATCCATCCGTTCACCTTTTCTGCGTCTCACAAAGACACGGCGGTTGGAACCAAAGATCTCAAATTTGGACTCATCAGACCAAAGAACAGATTTCCACTGGTCTAATGTCCATTCCTTGTGTTTCTTGGCCCAAACAAATCTCTTCTGCTTGTTGCCTCTCCTTAGCAGTGGTTTCCTAGCAGCTATTTGACCATGAAGGCCTGATTGGCGCAGTCTCCTCTTAACAGTTGTTCTAGAGATGGGTCTGCTGCTAGAACTCTGTGTGGCATTCATCTGGTCTCTGATCTGAGCTGCTGTTAACTTGCCATTTCTGAGGCTGGTGACTCGGATGAACTTATCCTCAGAAGCAGAGGTGACTCTTGGTCTTCCTTTTCTGGGTCGGTCCTCATGTGTGCCAGTTTCGTTGTAGCGCTTGATGGTTTTTGCGACTCCACTTGGGGACACATTTAAAGTTTTTGCAATTTTCCGGACTGACTGACCTTCATTTCTTAAAGTAATGATGGCCACTCTTTTTCTTTAGTTAGCTGATTGGTTCTTGCCATAATATGAATTTTAACAGTTGTCCAATAGGGCTGTCGGCTGTGTATTAACCTGACTTCTGCACAACACAACTGATGGTCCCAACCCCATTGATAAAGCAAGAAATTCCACTAATTAACCCTGATAAGGCACACCTGTGAAGTGGAAACCATTTCAGGTGACTACCTCTTGAAGCTCATGGAGAGAATGCCAAGAGTGTGCAAAGCAGTAATCAGAGCAAAGGGTGGCTATTTTGAAGAAACTAGAATATAAAACATGTTTTCAGTTATTTCACCTTTTTTTGTTAAGTACATAACTCCACATGTGTTCATTTATAGTTTTGATGCCTTCAGTGAGAATCTACAATGTAAATAGTCATGAAAATAAAGAAAACGCATTGAATGAGAAGGTGTGTCCAAACTTTTGGCCTGTACTGTATATGTATAGAAAATACCAGAAAAAGAAATTAAAAGTTAAATCACTGTGCAGGAGAGGTTAGAAGACAAAAATGTCTTATGAAGATATCTCCTCTATTATATAACAACAACCATTTATAAAATGAAAAAAAGATTAAAAAAAACAAAGATTGCATAATTGAACAAGATTTCCAGGCTAAAAAATTGTTAAAGATGTACAATTTACAACAACAACAAAAAAACACAAATCGCAAATGAATCAATGAAGTGTGAAGAGTCTCTGCAAATTAGAGTCCTTTTCAGATGTTTTTTGAATAACAATAATGTAGATGATGATCGTAGAGATGGAAGAAGGTTGTTCCAAAGAGATGGTCCTCTGTTTTTTAATTCATTAAGAGCAGTCCGACAATATGGACGCTAACGATTGTGTGTGAATACTTGATACTTTTAAAACATATAGCATACTGTATTTGTAGTGACCCATAATTAAACTAATGAATTTACTTGCATACAGTGTGGCTCTTGTCCAGGTCCCTCTTCCCTTCAACCTTACAGCCAAGACCATGCAGTTTCATCTGCTGTTGCACACGCTAATCTTAAGTGGGATATATTTGGAGGCGTAGTGATTGCTCCAGTGATTGCATCCTGTAATATTTCACAGGGAATAATATGAAATTACTGCATACTATTGAACAGTAAATGGTCCACAGCCTTTTTATTTAAAAAGTTAACTGCATTCATTAATAAATTTGAAAGCAACTTGCCTGTATGTGAATGGTAAAATCAGGGGGATCTGCTGTGTTGTTTGTTTCCTGTGTTTAGCTGGAAGTCAGAGCCACTACAGGGGGTAGTTTATATGGCACCACTGACAGGCGACTAAATGAAACGCACCGTCACCTTTCATAGAATAACAGATTTCTTTGAACCTTGTTGGAAACATTTGGACAATGTAAATAGGTCTACTTGACTCAAACAAACATACAACATTGGTTTAGTTGTTTTTAGACATTTAAATGCGGAAATGTTACATAATATATCTGTAATGCAATATAAAACCAACTAATAAATGATGACGTATTATAGATTAAAATACCCAGCAGTATATGAAGCCATTGAAATGAGTTCCTGGACCATCAGTGTGTTTGTAAAGAGCTGAGAGCTGAAGGAGACAGCTGGAGCCCAAACGAGGAGCTCCAAGAGTCTGAAAGCTGTTAATGAAATATCACTTAATGCAGATTTAAGCTGCTTCATACAGAATGAAATATAAAGGTAAACAGGTCTGATAAGTCTGCTGCAGCCACAGTGGAGCGTTGGAGTTCAGATCGGTGAGTATCTCTGTGCTGTGTGTCCAGTTTGGGTCGTGTGTGTTTCTGTGTGTCGATCAGAGAAAGTCCTGAGCTCAGTGAGGTGACAGATGTTGATTGAAATGAGTGGATTTTATGTTCATGCAGGTTTGGGAAGTAAATGTGATGTCACTGCTGGAAATGTTACAGCTCAGAAAATGTGAGAGAAAAACTCTGAAAGGCAACATTTAACCTCAGGACGCTTGGCCTCTGTTAACTGATTCGTTCTTACAGTGATTACAGCACACAGATTAATGACATCATAACATATCTTAAACATGTGACGTGACACAGCTCAGCGTCCAGTCTGGATAAATGTTGCCTTTGTCAGTCGTGAAGGAAGTGAAGCTGCAGGTGATGTAAGTACAGAGCAGCAGGCAGGAGAGAGACCTGCTCGTCACATGATCACATCTGTCACATGACCTGATGTGACATCAAGACAGCTGGTCTGTTTTCTTTTACTTCATTTGGTTTAATAAGTGAGGACAGATGCTGTTTGTCATCTACAGTGTTTATCTTCAGATATGATAATGCTTTTAATCCATTTTCCTATTTAACCCACTGAATTTGTGGCTGAATCACATTAAAAAATCAAAGTCAGTGATTTTCTATATAATATTTACTGTGCTATGGAAGTGTAGAGCCGTCACACCAAAAGAAAAAACATGTAAATGGTTGTCTGTCTCTATGTGTCAGCCCTGTGATAGTCTGCTGACCTGTCTCGCCCAGTGTCAGCTGGGATAGGCTCCAGCCCCCTTAACTTTTCTCTGTTGTGGCAGCTCTACACTTCTGTATTTTATCTGTCAGATAAAAGTGATTACATTACATTTGGGATGTTACTCTACATTCTCTCATCATCTGCTCAGCGACTCTGCAGGACTTCGGAGGACCATATGTATATTCAGTACAGTAGCACCTCCTGTAGTTGAAGTCTGAAGATGACTGCTTTTGCTTTTCAGTTTTTTTGTCTCAGTTGCTTCAGCAGTCAAAGCTCCATGAGTTCTGCAAAAATCGATCACTTCAAACATCTAACCAGTGAGTCAGAGTAAATAAATTCATCAGTGAATAAAAAATCCCTTTATTGATGAAGTTAGGATGGTTATTTTACACACAGTAACTCAACAATAAAGTCATATATCCTCTACAGCTGACTGAATATAATACAACTACCTGTTCATCATGGGCTGCAGACCCCAGCAGACTTTACTGATTTAATGGCCCACAATCAATGGCAATATGGACATGATATTGTAGGGTTTTTTTTTTCAATAGCCGATTGAAAACCCAAAACTTGTAGCCTGTTAAAACTTAGTCTGAGTGGGCGAAAGTTAGCTGCATAGATCAGCCTCTCATTGGGCGGAACAAGCCACCTGCTGAAGTCCCGCCCTACCACCTCCGGTTGTGTAGCAGTTTTCAAAACGTCCTTTACTAACTTTTGCGGTGTTTGATCTTGTGGGGATGTAGCCATTTTTCTGCCATGGTTTGCGTCCTGTAGCCGATATTTTTGTGGGCGTGTTACACCAAAACCTGTTTCCCCCCGGCAATATTTTTGCAAGCGCACCTTGCTGTGGCACCGCCAAGAACGATTGTGATTGGTTGAAAGAAATAAAAAAAGCCGGGGCGTTTTTTCCTCCAATCTTAAAGTGAGAGTCGGCGCAGCCAGACTTTTCTTTTCTTGAGAAAGGTCTGGTGAGCGAGACTAGTTAAAACTCAACTTGAATCATGTCGACCAGAAATAATATTCAACAACATAATGATGCAGAAATACACAGAAATATAGCCTATAGAGTGGAGTTATGATATGGGGCACAGAATTTAAATTTACTAAATTTACGATTTACTGAGAATTCGTGATCTAGCACAGACCACCAACCCTCCACCTCACTCACCACAAGGACACTACTTCCCTGGGAGGAGAGCAGACAGCAGCTCAGACTTTAGCCACTGTAGCACCCTTGTAGCACAGTGGGATGTAATCCATGTAACTGCAGCAACAGAAAGTTTGCTGGTCCACTGGGAGCTCTGGGAGATCGAGAGGGCAGTCTGGGTGTTCAGTCTTGCTCTGACTGAAGTTGAGTTGCTGCGGGGCGCTAAGTGAAGGTCTGTCTCTGTCGCACCGCTGCTGCAAAATTAATGGAAACAGCATGTGTGGACTGTTGTGGTGGGTGCCAGCCATTTGGTGACAGTAGCTACTGTTGCAGAGTTGAAGATTCAAGGCACTCGGGATCACTTTATAACATCACATCCTTTTGGACTGTCCCTGAAAATTTGTTACAAGTCCTTTACATAGAAGTCAGTCCACAGGATTTTGTAGGCAACTGAGAAAGTCTGGGAAAGTTTTTGAGTTACGTTACAACTTGTTCACCTGAGGGCAATAAAAATGATTCAGACATGTACATGTTCAATACAAAACCTTTGAATAAATGTAAGTATCAGATCAGATAACATAAAGTGATCGGGACTTTCTTGGCATGAACCTTCATGAAGATTGTTCCTGAGCAAATGATGACACTGTTTTCATTTAGGAGTGGACTGTTCCTTTAATATGACAGAAAGCTGTCTGTGGTCAGAGTGTGTCCACGGTCTCTCTTCTGCCTACTGTATGAGCCTCAGTCAGTGCTACAACGCTACATAAACGGCTTGTTTTGTCTTGACCCTCCCTCCCTCCTCCTCCTCCTCCTCCTCCTCCTCCTCCCTGTTCACCCCAAAGTCGAGCAGATCACCGCCGTTTTCACCGCCGCCACCAGGCAAAAGGCATGGGACCATTTCTCAAAAGCACAGCGCAAGAACATAGACATTTGGCGCAAGCAGTGTGAGGTTGGTATACCTTTGTGTCGTCTCCTCCCTCCCCGGCCCACTGCTTTCTTCTCTGCTGTCCTCTCTGAGCCCCACAAGAGACAGCTGTCAGAGACAGCCCTGTACCATCTGTTGGATTCACTGCCCCTGTTGTTGTTTTCCTGGATGCTTCGCCCTCACTGACTGACTGACTGATTGACTGACAGACTGTCTGGCAGCGGCCTCTGATCGGCTCTTCTTCTCTGCAGCTGAGATCCAAAGCAAAGATCTGATGCCTCTCCCAAAGTGTGAGGTGCTGCTATGGCAACAGTGATTTCCAGGGTTAAGTCTCTGATCAATTATTCATCCAGAGTCAAATCCAGATAACAAGTATGAACATGAGGATGTTGTGTATAGGAGGAGGGAGGATCTGTCTGTTTGCAGCCTGTAGCAACAGCAGCCTGTTGTCCATCTGTGGGGGCTGAAACTGGAACAGTAAAGTGCAGAAATAAAAACAAAACCAACAAAGAAATAAAACACACTACACACTGTTGTATTATTAGCTGTTGTATGCAACAGCCTCAGGTCTTCAACAACTGAATGAACAGTTTTTAATTGTAACATGAAGTTTCCACATCACAGTGAAGTGGAAAGAACAACACATTCTCACGCCGACCTCGTCACATATCGACATTTGGTTGTGGACTTTCCATGTTCAGATACGACATGCATGGTACCCTGGGTGCATTGGTTCTTGATGTTCTGGGACGCCGTGTCATCTTCAGTTTTCAGAGGAAATGTACGATTTGTATTCAGTCTCTTTCAAAATAAATGCACATCGTTAGTACAACTTCACAAATTGACGGGGTTTTTTTTTTTTACCTTCAGCAACAAACGCACAAGGTTAGTTTTAGGCAACAAAAGTATGTGGTTGGGTTTAGGAAAAAAGATCACGGGTTTGGCTTTACAATCACACAGGAAGTAAACACCAGCCTCCCGGGTGAAAGTCAGTGGTTGTTGGACCCATCCACCACCCCTCCAGCCTGTCATACTTGGACTTCCTCCACCTTAACTCTCATTGTTGCCCCGTCATGTTTCCGCCTGATGCCACTGGGCACCAATAAACAATAACAGCAACCAGCTATGTATCACGCCGCTGTGAAAGGACGGCTTTTTTGTCAGTGTCTGACCTAGCACCAGTTTTCAACAACTCCTGAGTGAGACCAGGTTGGAAATAGACAAATTTCATTATGAAGTAAATGTTGGTTTCACATTGTAATGGCTACAGAATAACGACGCTGATGAGTTTAGATTGGTTCCCTAGATGCCTCTAGCCTGGAAATCTAGAAAGATTTAGGGTCTGGCTATGAGTAATGAAAATGGCCCAACTCGAGGGGCGGCACCAAGCATGCATTAGAAAATATCACTGCACGCAATTGGACAACACTACGACCAATCAGAACAATACACAGGGTGACGTATACGCTTAGCTACCAGAGGAGCTAACTGGTAGATTAGACTCTTGCCGTATCCCGTCGGCAAAACAGAAAAAACATCCTTCTTGCATAGGAAAGATTCGAGTGCCGTCTTCTGTTCCTCTTTTAGAGAAAAAGCCAAGTCTAACTCGTTTATTGTAGCAGCCAAAGCAGTTTCAAACAGGTCCATGTCATTGGTTCGACAGCCCATTGGTTCAACATCCCATTAGTCCGACTGTCCGCGGTGCTGAATGGCTCGCGGCGGGCGTATGGTGCGCCGCGACCGGCTTGAGGCGGAGCAGGCTCACGGCTTATGTGTTTGTCACTTTCTTTTTCATTTTAACCCACACCATGATCTTTTCCAGACCCTAACCAAGTGGTTTTTGTGCTTAAACCTAACCAGACCTTAACCACAGGGCATCATGATGATTTCGGAACAGACTTTGGAACAATGAGTTTAATATGGTCAGAACAATGGGCTGTCGAACCAATGTTCATCCGTAGCCATCTTGCAATGTTTACTGACTGATTCCGGACTTCGTCGTCGCAGCGCTGTCATCATGTGTTTAGCTCGCCTCTGGCCCGCCTATATCAGATACACCAATGTGACTGGTGCAGCTCAGCTCCAACGGCATGGGTAATGAGCATCATTACTGATTGCCAGAGTGACTCGCTGAGCAAATTCAAATTGTGCTCTAGCGAGAACTCTGGATTTCCAGGGTAAGATGCCTCACCTTTACTCTGCAATTCTGTCTGCTACGTGCTTTGACTACCCGCGAAAATAAAGGCTCCATTTATGGCAAAAAGGAAGTGTGCAAGTAGAGCGCTTTAGCTTTCCTTGGCAGCTATCAGTAGCCACCCCCAGTTACCAAGAGCGTCATTTTGCAGTTACTATCCCCAGGAGTGGAAATCCCGGATGGTGGAGCAACTGAAGTGACTGAAGAAAACAAAATGGTGATGTTGTCAGTAGTCGCGGCTCTGAGGAAAACGTAAAGAGATCCGGTTGTCTTTGTGACAGCGCTGCCACAATAATACCACTTGGAAACATAAGTGGGGTAAAAATTAAGGAAAAAAAGGTGAATATGTTGTCCAGCAGAGGGCAGCACAGAGCTGATAACAATCAATACAAATTTGTTCCTTTGTTTCCATGAAGAAATGCAGCTGAGCTTTTTATCTTTAACAGAAGACACATCATATCCAATCACGCGTCAGAGCTCGCTTCTACGAAGAAAAAGTAACAACTTTCAACAACAAACAAAATCACAAACGCAGCGTCAAATAAACGCAACTAGCAAACAAGAATGATTCTTTTTTTTTTTTTCTTTTTTTTTTACTGGTGATACAATTACAAACAGTAGCCAGTAATTCCAGCAGACAGAAGGTTGATTAATATTTTATTGAATGATAGCTCACAGAGAATGCATACATCAAAAGGAAATACATAACAGTGTGTGTTTGTTTTTATTTCTGCATTTAAAATCAATCCGGTTTGATTAACGATGATTAACACTCAGTGAAGTTTGATCAAAGTCAGCTCAGTGTCACCACATATAAAACAGTTTGGTCCAATAAGAGGTAAGAGACAGAGACAGTGGTGAGACACAACCATCTCTAGCACGCTACAGTCCGTTAATGGCTAGTATCTGTGGTAAGTCTATGTGAGGCGGACCCAGGCTGCGTATTCAGCTGACAAATAACCAGAGAATGCATTGTGGATGCTGACAGCTGAGATGCTTTTCAAAGCATCACTGACGAGAAGAGAATTTCTGCACACTGTCCTTTTACTTACAACATTTGGGTCCTCAGACCTTCATCAGGTAAAGTCTGATGAAAGTCTGAGGACCAAAACATTGTGTATTTGAATAAAGTATTCTTATATAATCTTATATGTAAGAATTCTATTCTCTTCATCTACGGACATTTTTCTAGTTATTGATGATGTGCATAAGCCTCCATGCTCTAGTTCAAAACACTGCTGGAAGTGCTGAACTGTTAAATGAATTGCTTGAAGAATCTTGAAGCCCAAAGGTCTTACACTGCCCAAGTTGGGATTTGAACCCTCGGCCCTGCAGCTGCCAAAAGTGTGTGGACATGTGGCAAGAAATGTTTCTTTTCTGCAACTTAACATTGAAAACATAAAGTCAGACCACAGCTGCTGCAACCAATGTACAGCCCTGTGATGAGTTAACACATAGTCAGAAATGATCATTATGTATATTTTCAACCCTGATGCCTCAACTTGTATCTATGAACTAAAGCATATATGCACCACTGGTAGTCTTTGAACTATTTAGTTGTCAGACACTTTGAGAAGATCAAGGACAGAAAAGTCTATGTGTTTAGCACCTTTGACAGCAAGGCAGCTCAAAGTGCTTAACTTGACATAAAGACATGAAGTGAGTCTAAAGACACGTTCTGGTGCCTTGATGTGTGTATCGTGGTGCTGAGGACGGCTTGCACTGTGTGTGTCTGCTGCTTGTGATGTTTCAGGAGCTGAGAAACGCCCACAGTGAAGAGATCATGGGCATCAGAAGGGAGGAGGAGATGGAGATGTCAGACGACGACTTGGATGAAAATCCCTGTAAGAGGATGCGCACGGAGGAGAACGGTACGACACACCAGAGTTCATAATCACCTTTACACGTCACACTTTTAATGAAGTCAAGAAATTTCTGATTTAAATTTGAGGCCTCGTGTTGGAAGCTTCTTTTTTTCAGATATCTCTTTGTACAAAACATACATTTGTTTTCTTTTCTCCAGTTAATGTGATGATGTTTGTCCCGATGTTGTCTCGGTGACTGAGTCATCAACATTGGATGTTAAAGTATGTTTTCTAACATCCACTCAGTCTATCAGCACCCTCTGTCTTTAGAGCCTCGATTCAGGTATTAAGAAAAACTCCCCAAAAATCCCTTAACAGCGAAAAGACGGATTAAACCTTAGCAAGAGCATCAGAGGATGGATACTCCTCACAACAACACATCTGTCAGTGAAACACAAATCTGCAGTTACATACATGAATGTCTCCATGCAATGCCGATTCAGTCCTGGCTGCAGAACAGTGGACCAGCTCTTTACCCTTGCAGGGCTGCTGGAGGGGTCGTCAGAGTTTGCTTATCCAGTTTACATGTGCTTTGTGGACTTTAAGAGGGCTTACTATCACGTCCCAAGGGGAGTCTTGTGGGGGGGTATTACAAGCCATCCTGTCCTTGTATAACCAGAGTGAGGGCTGTGTCTGCATACTTTGCACAAAGTCAAAGACATTGTCAGTGGGTGTTTTCCCTTGTCTCCACTTCTGCTTGTAATAGTCATGGACAGGATCTCGAGGCGCAGCTGAGGGGAGGAAGGGGTCCGTTTTGGTGACCTCAGAATTGCGTCTCTGCTCTTTGCAGATGATGTGGTTCTGTTGGCTTCATCACGGCGTGACCTCCAGTGTCCACTGGGGCGGTTTGCAGCCGAGTGTGAAGCTGTTGGGATGAGACTCAGCACCTCCAAATCTGAGGCCATGGTTCTCTGCCAGAAACTGGTGGATTGCCCCCTCAAGGTTGGGAGAGTTACTGCCTAAAGTGAGGGAGTTGTGCTATCTCTTGAACTCCCTCACTTGATTGGTGGTTTTGCGCAGCATCTGCAGTGGTACAGGCGCTTTGCCAGACCGGAGCTGAGCTGAAAAGTGAAGCTTTCGATTTACTGGTCCAACCCTACCTACGTCCCAACTCTCACCAATGGTCATAAGCTCTGGGTAGTGACGGAAAGAATGAGGTCACAGATACAAGCGGCTGAAATAACTTTCCTCAGGTGGGTGGCTGGGCTCAGCCTTAAGGTGCGGACACACCAAACCGACATCAAAGAACTAGTGGCGACGAAAGCCAACTGTTGCGTCGTCTACATTGCCTCACATCGCCCTGTGTCAGTTGCATTTGAACACACTACACGGACTACATCCGACGGCCAAGTAGCACGTACGTTCTGCGCCTGTATGAGAGAGAGCGGAGTGAGAGAGTGGTACATCCTGTCAGCCGAGGGGTTTCCTATCTGTGCAGCCGAGCACCGCAGCACCTCCACGGACTATTACATCCAGACGGTCCCGGTGTTTCCTCCTCAGGCTCCACTTCACTCAGCTGCCCGATAAACCCGCTGCTTCTTCCCACTTTAACCTGAATAACAAACCAGGGCTCAGTGCTCTGGTTGGATCCAAATGGAAAGCCGGAGCTAGCTGGGAAGCTAGCGGAGGCTAACTGGCTGTGCTTCCCTTCGGTCATGCTGCAGCTAACACTCCGCTAGCCTCACAGCTAGCCCTGGTTTGTTATTCAGGTTAAAGTGGGAAGAAGCAGCAGATCTGTCGGGCAGCTGAGTGAAGTGGAGCCTGAGGAGGAAGCACCGGTTAGACCCGGTTTCATTACAGGCAGATTCACTTCATTCAATAAAACCTGAACAGCCAATCAGAGTGATCTCTCTCACCGACAAGCTCCGCCACTGATTCAACATGCTCGATCAGCCGAAAGGCCGTCAACGCCATAATGCCGACAGTACGGGACACACCGCAAAAACTAGGGCAACAGATGCTCACCAATGAGCAAGGACAGCTGGAGGGAGCTCGGAGTAGAGCTACTGCTCCTTCCTCCTCCTCTATAAGCCTGCTTGTTTTTATTTTAAGGTAAACATGGAGCGACTGAAGTGTGAGGACGTCATTAACAAACACACTGAACTTTGTGGCCTTATTGTTGTTTCCATCCTCAGAGGAAAGGACTTCTCATTCTTCTCTGCCGTCTCATGTTGGTTGAGAGCAGTGAGAAGCCTCAGTGTTTTTATCAGTGAACAAGTGAAACTGACTGCATCCTCATGTCCTCCTGCAGGAGTGTGTGATCAGACTCAGGCGTCTCTGAAGGAGGAGAACGACTCTCTGCGATGGCAGCTGGACGCCTACAGGAACGAGGTGGAGCTGCTGAGAAAGGAGCAGAGTAGAACCAGCCGACCGGACGACGATCACACACAGACACACCCACACAGCGCAGAAACTCAGATCCAGCTGCTGCAGCAGAACATGCACAACATGCAACAGGTTTGTTCCTCCAAACTCGTCTTTAGTAGCAACATACAACATGCAGCAGGTACATTTCTCCAAACTCTTCCTCAGTAGCTGCTGCACTGTAAACTTCAAGTATCAGTCTTCTACTTGTGTATTGGTCAGATTTGGATTATGACTCACAGTAAAATCTGTTTTTTTGCCTCTTGGAAGTTGAGGTGTTGGCTTGCATCAGCTTCTGGTCCAATCACAAAGTTTCACACTCTCAGTTAAACACTTACCACACATCAGACTGCCTGAGGAGAAACATGCACCAGGGTCAGTGTACAGGTGAGAGATGTGACCCAAAAATAACCTGTCTGAAGTGTCAGGGAGGAACTTTAACCCCTGACTGCTTCAGTGGAGCTGCCCAGATCCTGGTGTGTGTGTGTTTGTGTGTGTTTGTGTGTGTGTGTATCAGAAAAGTGAGCTGACTTTACTTTATTTTCCTCGAGCAAACAGAAAAAAACCCAGTGGTTGTTGTTCCCTGCTGACTCAGAGCTCTCCCAGAATCCTTCGCTCCACTGGTTTCATGAAGCTTTGTTAGAGCGCCGAGCTCGTTTGTGACGAGTTAGCCTGATGTGACTCGACTTCCTGTCTTTCTCTATCGCAAGTGACAGCACTGATAGAACCGGGCACATCACACCAAACACACACACACACACACGCATGCACACACATACACACGCACACGGTGGCTGGTTGTAAATGTGTTGCTTACTCGTCTTCTAACAGTGTAAGAGAACGTCACGCGACTGTCGCCTCTCGTTTGTCACCTGCTGATGTTTCTCTTCCCTCCGTCACAAACAAAATAAGAGCTTCACTTTATTTGAAATTACATTGTGAACAAAAATGTATTTAATCAAAATGATAAGCATTTAAATATTATGAAAGACCCAACATACACTTGCAAACATATAATGAGCTGATGTGACTGAGCGTGATGAACCAGAGTATTTCCGGTATTTCTCCCACACTGTCAGCCACCCAAAGCATCATTAAGACAATCATATCTTTCATGACGATGTTACATCATGTGTGTGTTTGTCTTCCAGCAACTGCTGAGCCTGCAGGAGAAGCTGAAGAGTAAAGAAGCGGAGCTGGAGCAGGCGAGAGAGGAGCACCGCTACCTGGAGGGGGAGGTGCTCGCCCTGAGAGACAAGGTGTGTACAAGGCTGTCACATCACAGTGCTCCTTCAGGTTAAACCCAGAGAGTTACATCCAATAGAATACACTCACTGGCCACTTTATTAGATGCACTAGTCATATAGACATGGTGAAGATGACCTGCTGAAGATTAAATCGAGCATCAGAATGATGAAGAAAGGTGATTTAAGTGACTTTGAACATGGCATGGTTGTTGGTGCCAGACGGGCTGGTCTGAGTATTTACTGGGATTTTCAGCACAACCATCTCTAGGGTTTACAGAGGATGGTCCCAAAAAGAGAAAATATCCAGTGAGCCAAAATGCCTTGTTGATGCCAGAGGTCAGAGGAGAATGGCCAGACTGGTTCAAGATGATAGAAAGGCAACAGGAAGTCAAATAAGCACTGGTTCCAACCAAGGTATGCAGAAGAGCATCTCTGAAGCAACAACACCTTGTCCAACCTTGAAGCAGATGGGCTACAGCAGCAGAAGACCACACCAGGTGCCACTCCTGTCAGCTAACAACAGGAAACTGAGGCTACAGTTCACACGGGTTTTCTCACCAAAACTGGACAATAGAAGATTGGAAAAACCACATTCAGATGGAAGCATGGATCCATCCTGCCTTGTATCAACGCTTCAGGCTGCTGCTGGTGGTGTAATGGTGTGGGGGAGATTTTCTTAGTACCAACTGAGCATGGTTTAAACACCACAGCCTACCTGAGTATTGTTGCTGAGCGTGTCCATCCCTTTATGACCACAGTGTACCCATCTTCTGATGGCTACTTCCAGCAGGATAACGCACCATGTCACAAAGCTCACATCATCTCAAACATGACAATGAGTTCACTGTACTCCAATGGCCTCCACAGTCACCAGATCTCAGTCCAATAGAGCACCTTTGGGATGTGCTGGAACGGGAGATTCTGTGTGATGTCATCATGTCAATATGGACCAACATCTCTGAGGAATGTTTCCAGCACCTTGTTGAATCTATGACACCAAGAATTAAGGCAGGTCTGAAGGCAAAAGGGTCCAGCCTGGTACGCTGATCAAGCTTTTACACTGACATTAGCTTGTACCTCCAACTCTGCACGATTCCCAGTTTGCACATTTTCCCCTTTTGACGTACGAGAGCAGCGACTCTACTCCAAGCTCCCTCCAGATGTCTGAGCTCCTCACCCTAACAGACTGGTGCAGGTGTAGCCTCTGCAGCGTGTTGAAGTGCAATAACAGGAGACATGAGATGACTCAGATGTCGGTCTTTATCAGCTGTAGTTGTTTGAAGTCAGTTTAGGGTGTAAAGCTGCTTACACACTCACATCAGACAGACCACACCCGTTATGTCACTAACATTTGACGAGATGTCTCATACTGTCTCAGTAAATAACAACGTGCTGCACAGTCATCGGCTGCAGATTGAATCCTGAGACTCATTCAATCTCTCTTTTGTGGCTCAAACACACGCACACACACACACACGCACCCACACACACATACACGTCTACACACACACACACACACACACCTCTCAGCAGGAGAAAACAGAAAAACATGTTGGCAGGATCGTTGCCATAGCAGCCCTGCTGTCCTTCCAACCTCCTTCATCCCTCCATCATTTCATCTGTGTTTGTGTGTGTGTGTGTACTTGTGCATGATATATAGTGAGGACCAGAAAGCATATTTTGGCAACAAAGTGAGGACAGTTTTGAAAAGTGAGGACATTTTGGCCTGTTTGAGGGTTAAGACTTTGATGGTTCATGTTACAGTTAGGTTTAGGTTCAGGTTAAGGACTGTTCTTATCTATCAGAGGAGGGGAGGTGGCTGTTTTTATTTAGACCCTCCCCGAAGCTACAGATATTATTCCTTGAGCCTCCCTGAGTGATGGGAGGAAATCCATGACCCTCCCTCCACCATAAATTATTCATTAGATTTTTATAACTCATCCTTTGATGTTTGAAAGTTAAATATTGAAGACAAAAAGCTGGAGTTGAAAAAAACCTCAGTTTTCACTCTTGTTGTCCTGCTGGTTAGTTCAACTGTTTATTTCTAGCCAAATTTTAAATGAGACATAGAATAAAGTGATTTTGATGAAATGACACTATTTAAAGCTCAGATCTGGTTCCATCCAGATCCAACATCTGTTTTTACAGCTTCTGACTATGATGAATGTCATTTTGGACACAGTTTCTTTGAAAAATTGCCAAAAATTGCATGTTTTAATTAAAGATCACCAAAATGTATCTCCAAGATTTGAAAAATTCACAAAATTTGGAAGACATGTTTAAAGTCTGGAGTAAAATAAATACAAAATGCAACCATTTAAATTTGTATGCCCCTCCCCTAAACCAAAACAAAAACACAAGTCCCTCCCTAGTGCTTAAATACATAATTTGACATGCCTCCCCCTTTTTTGCACCACCCCTCCCCCCACATTAATAACAAAAGCCCTGTTTCCACCAACACTTTCAGTACAGTACCTTTGGAACCAACAGTAACCCTTCAGACATGGTATCTAGACCCCAGTGTTTCCACCGCAAACAGTACTCCTAAATATGGGCAGGGTTGTTGTCACTCACTGCTCCGTCCAGCACTCACTGTATTTCCTCCTTTATCAGTCTACAAATAGTTTATCGTCCACAGAACGAGGCTGCACGCTGACATTTTCACAACAAAACAGAACAGGCTGCAGTGAGAGTCTCTCTCCATGGGATATTTAAAAATAGCAGCTTTGTGCATTTAGTCCTTCTCAGGCAAGCTCAGGGGTTTAGTGTCGCTGGAGCCCACAGGAACAACGCTCTGTGAAGCTTTTTATTCCTCCGAGTGAGGATTAGAGTATATGCAGTTCACATAATCCAGTCCAAACTAATATATATTTTAAACTCTTTAAGATCCACTCATTACTAAAAGTCTGTGTCATCCAAGAGACACAATCAAAACTAAAGTGATGGTCAAAGTTGTCACAGTGAAATTTAAAGTGTGCTGATGGATTCACGTCATCAACTCATGCATTGAGTAACATTACAAGTTAACATTCCACCTTAAAAGTCACCGGTAGTCGACCCAGTGAATGAAGTTATTTTTTCTCAGACTCCAGCTGCTGTGAGAGGCAGCAAAACATCCTTTCATTTTATAGTTACAGTTTACTAATAAAACTCTCCACAGTATGAACAGTGGTTACATGAGCCTCAAAACCAGACACAACTCAGCCCTGAGCAGAGTGACCATCCTCTACTGACCAATCAGACTGCAGTGTTCACAGCTCCACCTTTTAGTACCAGATCTGTGTGCTAGGTACCCCAACAGAGGGGGGACCAAACATGGGAACAGTAAGGAACGGTTCCATTGGTACCATCCACAACTTTACACAGTGGAAACAGGACAGACACATACTGAACGGAACTGTACCATATGGTAGTGCTCAGTGTAACTACACCAGCTTCTCCTCTGATGCACCTCTTTTCTCTGTAGTGTTGTCTGATTGGTTCCTCAGGTTTGTGATGTAACAAACCTTGGTTGTCTAAATCAGTGTTTCTCACAGTGTCACTGCAGTTCCATGGAGAAAAGGCTCAGCTGTGGTGCTGACTGCTCATTTCTCTCATGATATGTCTTATGGCGTATAAGAAACACCGTGTGGACGTGTTAACAAGGTTTAAACTTGATTTTCACTTTTAAATGAGGTCACAATTTCAGCAGAAGCAGCCTGTTACCATCGCGTGTGTTTTCAGCTCTCATCTCCAGAGAAATGTTTGTCTCCGATGAATCCACATATTATTCATTTTTCCTCTTTATGGAAATTGATGTCAGTTGTCCTCCAAACTGTGTCTATTGATTCTTTACAGTGCAGTGCTCAGCTCAGTTCCTCTTTACATGACAAAACACACGCAGAGGCTGCATAAGATATTACACCGGATCGTTACTGTGGTTTGACATAATGCATCCATCAATGCCTTGTAAAGAGAGGGGAGGAGGAGCAGCACATGTTTTATTTAGTGCTGTAACAGATCTGATTTAAAGGTGGTGCAGAGACATGGATCCAGGCTGCAGGCTGAATGAAACATCAAACCAGCACTGCGTATTTAAACCTGCACAGAGACGACTTCATTCAGTTGTACATTTCCTGTGACAACGGAGGTCATCATTTATTTCATTCATTCATTTTCCTTATCCTGTTAGGGGTTGTGGGGGGGCTGGAGCCTATCCCAGCTGATACTGGGCGAGAGGCAGGGTACACCCTGGACAGGTCACCAGACTATCACAGGGCTGACACATAAGCCCTTTTACGCTGCCAGATTGTTGGCGAATGTTGGGCTGGCAAGCTGCGAGCGTTTAGACACACAGAGGCGGATTGGCGAGTTGATCCGAGGTGCCCAATTTTCCGCCTCGTAGGGTAGACATCAATAATATCAGTAATATTTGGTAATAATATTTTGGTTTAAAAAGAACGAGGCAGCCTTCCACCACGGGAGGGGCTGTTGAAGACTTGTGGGAGGAGCTGTTGATGACGCCGCATGTGCGAGCCACTGGCGGTGGATAAACAGGAAACAGCTGATAGCAGGAATTAGCGAGCAGCTAGTAGCAAGAGGGAAACACAAACCTGACAGACACTGTAAAGATGAGCAACTGGGGAGACAAGGAATTGCGCGCCCTCCTTGTCCTCGCAAACGAAGAGGCCATTAACCGTCAGATGACGGGGACGGTGAAGAACGGGCCGACTTATGAGAGAATCACCGAAGGACTGACCAGCCGCAGCTTCCCTCCCACGTCACTGTTTACGTCACACGCTGAGCTACATGTTTTGTTACTTGCTCACGAAAAAGGTGCATTCTGTATAAACAAAAGTAGGTAGGTGGCATTTTGCTGCACTCCCTGATTTTGTTTTTATACTGCCAATGCTGAAAGAAGACTGATTGGGCTTTTCTCCTGTTTAAAAAGGGCTATAGAGACAGACAACCATTCACACTCACATTCACACCTACGGACAATTTAGAGTCACCAATTAACCTGCATGTCTTTGGACTGTGGGAGGAAGCTGGAGCACCTGGAGGAAACCCACGCTGACACAGGGAGAACATGCAGACTCCACACAGAAGGGCTCCCCCACCCCAGTGTTTGAACCAGGAACCTTCTTGCTCTGAGGCGACAATGCAAACCACTGCACCAGAATCAACACAAACTGAACATTGTAACCTTCATGAGTGTTGGATTAGACTGCATTACAGCCGAACAGTCTCTTGTTCTCACACCATCCACCGTCCCCTCCACCTCCTGAGGACAGTCAGCTCGTATACACATCACTTTATAAACATTGATATAAGACATATGAAATGTTCAATTGTTATGTGTCTGTTACAGAAGAGAACACTTGAATGCAGAACAATCTCCAGCCTAATCCTCGCCCACATCTGCTATAAATCCCAACAGCTTTATTTTGTGAAATGAATAATAAAGTTTGTGTTACGTCATGTTGGACTCCTCAGAGAATCCTCGAGCCTGTGCGTGTTTCTCATACTGTTCACATCATCCACAGGGATTTAAAGAATCCATTGATCATACATTCTGAGATAGGGAGTTTGTTTTGGAATAAAAATGACTCATTTAATCCGATGTGCTCGGAGATAAATTCATAATGTGCTGGAGTTTTTCCCAGAAACCTCAAACAGCTGGTTAAAGGTGAGGCGAGGTGAGAGCGCTCTCTGTGTCACTGTGTGATTCTGTGGCTTTAATGAGAGGAAGGAGGAGTTTTCCGATCAGATCTTTGTTGGTGATAATTACATGTCAGGCTGTGTGGAGGTGGAGCAGCTGTCAGTCAGTTGGTGCTGAGCGATGGGAGGCAGGTTGATGGTTTCAGGCTGCAGACAGAAGGACAGGATGTGGAATATCAGTATTATGGATATACTCAGCAGAGAAGGTTTCTGGGCAGTGTAGATACTTTTAAAGCTTTTCTGTCCATCCTGTCATGAGAATAATTTATAACTGACATGGATTCACATTAATAACAACTGCTTCTCTGTGAAGAAGAGCTACAACCTTCTTACAGCCACATTTCAAGGCTCCATGAATCAAAATCAGGGGCAGTTTTATTGACAAGTAGGTGTGCACATAGCGCCACCAGGGATCAGCACGCCTGGGACCTGCCTCTGTCTGCCACCCGGCATACAATTTCAGTTCAATTTAAATTTTATTTATAAAGCCCAATATCACAAATCACAGTTTGACAGCATACGACATCCCTCTGGATCCCTCCTTTGGACCCTCACAGCAGATAAGGAAAAACTCCATGTAATTTATTTGGGCTGAGTCCGACTGGACCCCATGGCCCAAAGCCCAACCATCAGACGAATATGCCGTGTCATCAAGGTGTTGAATCGGGCATCTGATTAGAATGAACCCTGGGCGCCTCCTGTGAGAGGTTTTCCAGGCGGGTAGACCCAGAACTCATCTGGCCTGAGAACACCTTGGGGTCCCCCAGGAGGAGCTGGAAGGCGTTGCTGGGGAGAGGGATGTCTTGGGTGCTTTGCCTGGCCTGCTGCCCCCATGACCCAGCCCCAGATGAGTGGATGAAAATGGATGGATGGATGGTTTGCACATACCAAACCCAGATCACCAGAATGAATATCAACATTGTAGGTCTCTACAATCCATAGATACATTTATGTTTATGTTTCAACAACACTGTGGTTAATTTGTGATTATGTTTAGGCACAAAAACCACTTGGTTATGGTTTGGAAAAGATCAGGTTTGGCTCAAAATACCTGTTTTTTGGAACAGAATCCCTGCAGGAAAGGATTCTCAGTATAAAAACAGCCTTGTTTGTTGTTTGTTGGTGTTGAACAGTTTGCAGCTTGACAGGCGTCTCTCCACCATCCAGCATCCCCTCCACCTGCTGATGTGGTAGTCAGCTCATATACTACGTCACCGCCAAAACGTACAAAGCCAACATTTTCTTCTGGTGACTGAACACTTTTTTTTCCCCCTCAGCTGCAGTTTGTGGAGTTTTGAGTCATAGGGTGGACAGTTGCGAGCTGATCAGATCAGACTGATGGATGAGAGGAGCATCTGTTTTGTAGTGTTGTGTCGTTAGTGAACGAATCGTTCAAAAGAACAAATCTGTTGAGTGAACGTGCTGAACTGAATCTCTTCCAGAACTGATTCGTTCATTTCTCAGTTCAGTTGAGCTCAGTAGCGAGCATGCAGGCCGGGAGTTGAACTGCCGATTCGGTCCGTGCGAACGATGAATCACTCACAAGTCGTGAGGCAGCCAGGGTGCAGGGAGGGACTGCCTACCGCGTGACGAATCACTCGGTGAAAGAATCACTCTGTGAACGACGTAACCCCGAACACTGAGTGATTCAAATCATTTCTTCTCAGTGATACACTTTCATAGGGACAGTTTTCTCCAAGCTAACGGCTAATGCAGCCAGGAGTCAAGCCACATTAACACAATCACACACCTCCCATTGTTTCAACAGACTTAGTTTCCAGATAAACAAACTTAAAACGTGGGTTGGCCAGTGATGAGACTCACCAGTGCAGCTCAGCCGTGTATCAGTTCAGTGAGTCAGACTACGCAGTACACAGTCAGGGCTCCTCCTGCCAAGCACTGAACGATTCGATGAACGAATCTTTTGAACGAATCTTTTTAATGAACTCAGTAACATCTAAAGAACTGCTTGCCCATCACTACTCTTTTGATGATGTGGGAGGTGTTCAGACTCCATGTCAGGTCCTCAGCTACGTGCATCCCCAGGAACTTAAAGCTTGCAACCCTCTCCACTTCTTCCCCGTTAATGTCCAGTCCACTGTGATGGTTTTTGTTTTTCCTGAAGTCAATTATCATTTCTTTTGTTTTCTTTGCACTGAGGATGAGGTTGTTGTCCTCACTCCAGATGGACAGGGTCTGGACTTCTCCCCTGTAGGCTGTTTCATTATTGAAATGAGTCCCTCTTTGTAACACCAGAGCAGATCAATAAACACATCAGGTCCAGAATCTGATTCCCTCACGGTAGCGTAAATGTGGCTTGATGTTGCTCTGATGATGTATCTCCCTGCTCAATCACTGTCCAACCTGTCAGTCCTGCAACTTTATGTTCAGACCTTTTGGTTTGTTTCACAACTGACAGACACATAAAGATTTTTCCATCAGTCTGGACCAAATGAACCAAACTCCAGATTCGAAATTAACTACTCCATTACAAGTGAAATAGAAAAGAAAATATTTGATAAATGTAGAAGACATAAACACATGAGTGACAGTACAGTACACTGGGGTGTCCTCCCACCTGTCTGTCTCCACACAGTCTGATAAGTGGTTTTAAAAGATGATACGTGTTTGTGATGTCATCTTGAATCATTCATCAGCGGCGTGTTCCTCCGGTGTACACGTGTACCGGACAAACACTCTCTGCAGCCGTGTATTATTGACTCAGCTCTAACAGAACCATCTATAAAACAACAGCTGAGAAAACAAACGCTCCTCTGCTGCACATGAATCTTTGTTCTTCCTCTCAGTTTCACTCACACTCACCAAATGTCCTGTTATTTCTTTTCTCTGTGTGTCTTCAGCTGCTGAACGGGAACGTGGAGGCTGTGGAGGGAACCAACGGAGAGCTCCATGAAAAGGTACGAACTGAGAAAGCAGAGCAGATTCAAGTCAAAGAAATCTGTCTTTTATTTTTTAAAGCAGTTTATCTCTCCGCAGCTGGGATCATACAAAAACAGCCTTTAGACACAAAAACTGATGTAGCATTTTCTTTCATCCAGGTGAATCCCATTAGCCTTTACCATGAGCCTTTAGTGTCTGAACTGGCTGATGCCAAAAGACATGGCTGACAGAGACTCACTGTAACACAGCTTTAATACAAACATGGCTGAACAAGGTACAGAAACATTACGGGACATAAAATACTCAAGAGTGGGAATCGCCAGAGGACTCACGATACGATATTATTGCCATATGCTGAGTATTACGATACAAAATATGCACTATTTACCTTTTTTTCCCAACTACAAATTATTCCCTGAAGGAAAACTATGATACTTTTGTCGAGCTAAGTGTTGGATTATTTTTCAGCAGAGCAGGTTTAGCGTTAGCTTGGCCGTCAGCGGCTAACAGTATCTCTGGACAGTGGCTTGTGAGGTGAGCCCTCATGTTCATAGTATTCCCAAAGTATTTTATTCTCATATGACAGAGGTCAGAAATAACCTGTGAAAATGATGATATCAGAGGTCAGAGAGCTGCAGTGACCTCAGTGTTTGGAGGAGAGGAGTTCAGGTTCAGGTCATTCTGGTTATTCTGTGCACTTAACTGACTGTCAGAGAGCACACACACACACACACACACACACACACACACTTGACTATATATATATATATATATATATATATATGTATATATATACGGTGGGGTATGAACTTTTAAACCCGAAGCTGCTAAGCTGTAAACTGATGACAGTCGGGAACACAGATGCATAAAACATGTCATACTGATCTGATCTGAGAGCTGTGAGGCTTTTTATTAGATGTGATGTTTTGTTTATATGTGTGTGTGTTTAAGTGTTCTTATGTGTGTACATGATGCAGATGCAAGTGTACATGATGTACCCTGTGTTTCTATTAATTAGTGGTTAAAGATGTCCTCTGAGTTTTTACTTAAAGGTTCTGTTTGAGACGTAGATCATGAATAAAGCAGTAAACTTCTACAGTTTATGTAAAGATACAGCGGAGTGATGTCGTCCTGTGCAGAGAATGGAGTCACTCCCCCTGTCTGTGATGTATGTGGTATCACATTTTTTATACCGTCATACCTTTCTGAAATTTCATCATGAAAGCAAAGATGTGTGAGTGTGTATGTTCTTGAGTAAATATTATCTACTAGTCCGTCCCCATTGGTAGCTTTGTCACCTTCTACCTATGCCAATCCTCAATGCCTATGTGCAGTTTCACATAGATTGACCACGTCAGTGAGTAGAAAAACGTGGGACAGACAGAATGACTGACTGACAGTTTCCGTGATTATGTACAGCATACCATACCATGACTTAGTCATACCAAACATTAGAAAAAAACACCAACATTGGTCCACAGGGGGAGCCACAGCGATCGGTCGCATTTTAGCCATTTTGAAGCATTTTTCTGTTGTTATAGCGCCACCCAGTTGCCAATTAGAGTTAAATTTCTCCAGTCACCTTGAGGCGTCCTGTTCTACATATCTACCAAGTTTAGTAAAAATCCATATGGCGGTTAGGCCTAGATAAGAAATGAGCTCTCTAGCGCCCCCATTTTGTTTGATGGGATCAATAATGGAGGGGTCCCCTCAGATTATGTGTGGTCATATGCCTACAAAGTTGTGTGATGATGGGTGAAACCCTTGAGATGTTATACACCTTTATGTGATGAGCCACGCCCTCCGAAATATTCATTGCCTTATAGAAGCTCAGTTTTAGTAAGTTTTCCAACTTTTGCCAAGAGGGAACTTTAGATATTGGTCCCTAGATTATGTTCACTGAGTTTCATGCAGATCGCTCAAACTTCCTAGGAAGAGATCCATTTGAAGTGTTTTTCAAAAAATTCAAAATGGCGGAAAATCTATATAAGCAGAAGTTATGGGTTCTTGAGGCAAATGTGTTCCTCATGAGGAGAGGCATCTCTGTGCAAAGTTTCATGTCTCTACGACATACGGGGCATGAGATATGCCCATTCAAAGTTTGCAATTTCAATCAGTTGCTATAGCGCCCCCCTTTGGCCAATTGATGTAATATTGCTTCATTGGCATCCTCCCATGACCCTCTACCACCTGTGCCAAATTTCACATGGATTGACCAAGTCAGTGAGGAGAAAAACGTGAAATACACACACACACACACAGAGTTTCTGTCATTATATAGTAAGAATATGTTCTGTGTGTCATGTGTGTAATATGTGTGTGTGTTTCTCCCAGGTGATGAACGGGTGTGTCCCTTCAGTGTACCTGAGCAGAGAGCGGAGGAGTGAGGTCATCATGAGAGGAGGAGTGGCCTCAGAGAAGGAGGCTCTGCTGCTGGGTAAATATCAACGTTACATCTCAGAGGAACATTTAAGACATATATGGTGCTATAGTTACTGGTAATGTGTTACTGCCCAACACCGCCCAGAACACACAAACCAAACACTGGCTCTAGATCAGGGGGGTCAAACTCATTTTAGTTCATGGGCCTTATTCAGCCGTATTTGATCTCAAGTGGGCTGGAAAACCACTCTAGAATAACCTGGAAATAATAAAAACCTTCACGTTTCATTTTCTTTTAGTATAAAGTAGACATACATTTTAAAAACAGATATCAATTTAATGACAGACTGGAGGAATTCTAACCAGGAGAAGTTTCAGCTGGTTGTAATCTGTAATCCTCACCACTAGATGCCACTGAATCTCCCTTAATCTGACACACTGGACCTGCTCCCTCCACACATCTTATTACCTCGTCATGTTTTAGTTCTTGAAAAGCAGACAGTCGTTGACTCGTAGTTACCATACGTTTCTGATGTAGACCTTCATCATGATTCTGTGAAAGTAAAATGTTGCTTTGTGTCTGTGTTACGGCTGCTCTCAGGACTGATGTGAATCTCGGAGGTGAACGTATGAGCTGATTGTTGTCTCAGCTCCACGTGGGTGATTATGCACTTACTGGGAGTCTGAAACGTTTGACGGCGTTGCTGTTCATGTTGGGACACCAGCGAGGCTCTGTGTTTGTTAGCGGAACATTAAAGATGACTGAACAACATCAATGAAGAGCAGAAGTCGACAGTTGACTCACTTCAGCTCGGATACAACACTCTGACACTGCGTCTGGTGTCTGGAGGGTTCGGAGGCTTTGAACCAGAACCAGTGAGACAGACTGAGACACCAACTGTCTCGTCTTCCTCTTTCTATCTTCTACACTCACATTCATGCGTCTCACTCAGTGCAGGCGGCACACAGCAGCTGGACTGAATTCATTTCAGCTGCTTTTGTCTCTCCGTGTCGCTCCACAGCAGCACGCTGCTGCACTGGCTTCTTATTTGTAGTGAAGCTGCTGCTTTGTCCGGAGCAGAGCAGAGCAGGAGGAACAGCAGCACATTTATCTCTCTTAGTGGCTCCCAGAAAATCCAAATATGAAGGAGAGAGGAGGCCGGCGCTCTGTCTTCATCCTGACTGCCTGTAATCTGCTGCTGGAGCTTTTCATTCTGCAGAAACAACAGTTTAACAGGCACACGTTTTCACACACACACACACACACACACATCAGGATCAGGAAGAGTGTCACTCCCTCTGAAGACAGAAAGACATGTCCCTTGTATGTTACAGTTTCAGATGGATTTTCTTACTGAAGTTTCTTTGAATGTTCAATAATCAAGCAGGTGCCAGTGATTCCCCGAGTCATGTCTCTCAGGTTACAAACAGGCTGCCTGCCTTACTGGTGAAGGCCGTATCATCCTGAGAGTCACACCGCAGAGCATTTTTGAAATTAACGCTGATTAATGGCGTTCTGTGGTGCCCTCTGACCCGACGTGTCACTGAAGGCCACAGTGGTTTTGTCACATGATGGAGGCAGACGAGACGACACTGCTCGGCCCTGTGAATAAAACACTTACTTAAAAAACACCCAGATAATAATAATAATAATAAATTTTATTTGTAACGCACTTTATATTTAACGAAAAATCTCAAAGTGCTACAACAGCAAGAAAAGAAAAAATAAGTTAAAACAAGAGTTAAAAGCAGTTATCAAAGTAACACGAGCAAAAATTACAGATTAAAAGATTTTTTAAAAAGGTACGTTTTAAGGCCCTTTTTAAAACAATCAATTGACTGTGGAACCCTCAGGTGTTCTGGGAGGGTGTTCCACAGTCGAGGAACAGAGGAGCAGAAGGCTCAATCTCCCAGTGTGCGGCTCTTAGTCCTTGGGGGGAGAAGTCTGTGGCTGTTGGTGGAGCGGAGTGAGCGTGCTGAGGTCTGGGGGGGTGAGGAGTTCTTTGAGGTACTGGGGGGCGTTGCCATGGATGCACTGGAATGTGAGGAGGGAGACTTTGTAGTCGATCCGAGCGGAGATGGGTAGCCAGTGTAGTGAGTGAAGAATGGGTGTGATGTGTTCATATTTACGTACTCTCAGCAGGATTCTAGCGGCGCTGTTTTGAATGTGTTGTAATTTCTGTATGCTCTTGCTGGGAATCCCGCTGAGAAGTGCGTTACAGTAGTCGAGTCTGGAGGAGACAAAGGCGTGGAAGAGATTCTCTGCATATCTTAAGGTGAGTGTGGGACGAAGTCTGGCTATATTCCTCAGGAGGAGAAATGATATTTTGCAGAGGTGATTTATGTGGGCCTCAAAGGTTAGCTTGGGGTCGAACCTGACACCAAGGTTAGTGACTGTTGATGATAGAGGGATGTCCTTGCCAGAGAAAGTAATGCAGGTTATGGAGGAGTTTCGAATCTGATGAGGGGAAGCAATGAGGATGGCTTCAGTTTTCGAGCTGTTCAGCTGGAGAAAATTATGTCTCATCCACGCCCTTATCTCCTCCAGACATGCAGTGAGCATGGAGAGAAGTGATACTGCTGATGGTGGTGGATGAGTGTCCGTTTTGATGTATAATTGCGTGTCATCTGCGTAACAGTGGAAAGATATCCCAAAGCATCCGATGACTTTACCGAGGGGGAGCATGTAGAGAATAAACAACATGGAACTGTTGATAGGAACACTGTTCTCTGCAGCTTCTGCAGTGAGGAATTTTCGCACCATCGGAGAACTTAAAGCCTGAAATATCACCTCAACACAAAATATTTCACAGCAAACCCAGAGGTCCGAGCTAGCACAGCCTGTGATGCTAGCGCTAGCAGTCAGCAGTTTGGGTGGTCGAGGACAGGAGGACAATTGTGTCCAAAATCCAGCAGCTTTACTACGACACATCTGCCGAAACCCATTTGAATTTAAATTCTTAAAATACTTTAACAGCAAAAATTGATGTATGTGATTATTCAGTCATTCATTTTCTGTAACCTCTTATCCTGTTAGGGGTCATGGGGGGGGGGGGCTGTAGCCTATCCCAGCTGACATAGGGCGAGAGGCAGGGTTCACTCACATTCACACCTACGGACAATTTAGAGTCACCAATTAACCTGCATGTCTTTGGACTGTGGGAGAAAGCTGGAGCACCTGGAGGAAACCCACGCTGACACAGGGAGAACATGCAAACTCCACACCGAAGGGCTCCCCCACCCTAGCTTCGAACCAGGAACCCATAATGTTGTCTGTGTGTCGAGAACACAGTCCACAGAACAATGAGTGAGCTTCAAGTCCTGACCGACGAGGTGCAGAGACGTTCCTCGAAACTTCAGGGAAGAAATTTGAATGTGTCAGAGAGAAACTGTGACAGCTTTAATAAAGGTGCCTCAGTTCAAACCCACCATCTGAAGATGCTAACAGTTTCCCTGTAACTGTGTGTGGCTCAGAGGTAGAGCAGGTCGTCCACTAGATCGGTGGTTCGATACTGAGCCCTAAATTACTCCTGATGGTTGTTCCATTGGTGTGTGAGTGTGTTAAAGCTGAGCAGCAGGTGGCACCCTGTACAGTAGCCTCAGCCACCAGTGTATGAATGGGTGAATGTGACTTGTAGTGTAAAAAATGCTCTTAGCGGTCAGAAGACTAGAAATGTGCTGAACAAGTGCAAGTGCAATGCCATTTACCAATTTTGCACCTGGTATATGAATATTACCTAAATTCAATGTGTGCAGATATCACAGGAGCACGGAGAAGCTGTTTGCTCAGCAGTGCATTTCAGGGTGCACTTGACCCTTTGTGGGTTCATTTGAGAATCACACAGTTACTTTTCGTCTGATTCGTGGTGGTTGAGTGCCGCCAACATCTGCACAAACCTTCTGTGAATTCGACCTTCTGTTTGTAGAATAAAGTTCCTGCAGTGGAGACGAGTCACACTCTAATTCCTTGTTGAAACATGTACGTTGGGTTTCTCTTCTCTTGTTCTCTTCGGTTTTCTTGGTGCAAGTTGAAAATTAAACTTGTGTGCGTGCGCACACATACACACACATACACACACACACACTGCTGTTCCATGTGAGCAGGCCTGGTGGAAGGAATTGAATTAGGCCCGTCTGTAATTGCCAGCGTTTCGCCACATAAATCAAGGAAATAAATATTGGCTGTGCCGGGTCCTCCAGGGGACGCCACTCTATTCCCTCACCCCCACCACACCCCCATCCCTCCCCCCACCCTCGCTCCCTCTGCATGACTGCCTACCTTTGCAGGACCTCTCAGAAGTAATCAACTCAGGAGCGGTTTCTGCTCGGGCCAGCGTTTTTTATGGAGCTGCGCTGCCATTTGTTTATTGTGCAGCACTTCATGAGGATGCAGAGACTCTGTCAGCTCGCCCGCTCTCTGCTGCCTTTATTAACTCACGCCTGTGTGTTACCATGCATACTGATGGGAAACACTAAAGCTACACAATTAAAACATAATTCACTTTGGCATCTTAAATAGAAGTATCTGTATGATGAATATAACGCACACAATCACAGACAAAAGGGTAGATATGTGTCTGTGTAGGTGCATTGTGCTGGACTCTTCCGTTTATTCATTTTACAGGTCTGATTTTTTTCTGCTGCAAACATTTGTTTCTGTAAACATCCGTGACTGTGAGACCTGTTGGATCACATTCTGTCTGTCTTCCTCTCTGCAGGCATTATATCGACCTTCCTCCACGTCCATCCATTTGGAGCCAACCTGGAGTATCTGTGGTCGTACATACAGAGACTGGACTCAAAGGTAACAAGCTCACAGCTCTGCTCTGCTGCTGCAGCATTTATAAAACATTATATATTCAGTAATTATAAAAGTAAGTGAACAAACAGTGCAAAAAGTACAAGTGATAAATGGATCTGTCACATCAGATCCACAAGTAAAAGCAGGAATATTTCTGGCTCAATAAAAAGTTTCAGTAAAAACATCATCCACATACGACGTCCAAGGTACCCTGGGTGTGTTGTTGTGGACATTCTGGGACGCTGTGTGAACTTCAGTCTGTTACATGCATTGTCTTCTTTCAAAATACACTTCTGTTTTCACAGTATCTTTCAAAATAAAAGCACTACATCGCAAATTCACATTTTTTTCCCTTCAACAAAAACACGTGGTTAGGTTTCAGAAAAAAGAACAGGGTTTGGCTTTACAATCATACAGGAAGTTAACACCAGCCTCCTGGGTGAAAGTTGTTGTTGGACCCATCCACCACCACTCCCACCCACTCCCTTAACTGACGTTGTTGCCTGATCACATTTCCCTGTGGCGCCGCTGGGCACAGTTACACAATAATGATGACCAGCCGTGTATCATGCCATCGTAAAAGGACGGCTTTTTTCATCAGTGTCTGACGCCGAGAGTCACTGACCAATCACTGGTGTTCGATGACCTCCAAATGAGACCGGGTTGGTGCTGACGATTTCTGTTCTTCTCACTGTGTCTCTGCTGTCTGTCCGTCCGTCTGTCTCAGGTGTCTGCAGGGGACCTGGAGCGTCTCATGGTCCGTCTCCCCAGCATGTTCAAGCAGGAGCTGAGCGGCGTCGGGGCGACTCTAGAGAAACGATGGAAGTTCTGCGGTTTCGACAGCCTCGGCTCGGCGTGACGCAGGGGGAACGCACACACACACACACACACTGAGAACACACACTGATGTGTACAGACACACTGAATCTGCGTGTGTGTGTGCGCGTTCATCCACGCTGGATATACACCGCAGTGTGTGGAGGAGACGGACATTCACACAGTTCCCCTCTGGAGTCACTGCAGATATTCATCACAGTGAACTGAAACAGGACACTCGGACCTGAAGACGTACTTCCGTCAACATCTTCACTCTGATAATGTTGACGGGGTCTCTGAACCTTAATCATGTCCCCGGTTGTCTTGTTGTGGGACACCTGGAGTATAAAACCCAAACAGACAGAAAGAAAGAAAAGTTATACCAAAGTTGATCCTTAACACGTTTGGTTAAAACCAAACTTTGTTACTTTTATCAACAAAATAAGAGCATTCATTGACCCCTTTGTCCAGATATCGGCTCTTTAATATCTTGTGGCGTGACGGGACCACAGACAATGTCCTTCCTCTTTGCGACACTCCAGGGTTTGTTTGGAAATGTAGCAGAAAAATCTCAACCCAATTTCAGAAGTTTACACACCAACTGTTAAAATCTGTCACCTGACAAACAGAAACTTCTCTGTTGAGTCTGATCTGGGTTAAAGCCACCATGGACCTTTAAGGGAGCTTTCAGCCCTAGAGTCGTCTCCTTTGCTCTGAATCAGGGACTCATGTTGTTCCAAAGTTGTATAATTGCCTAGAGTTGGTTCGTGTTCTCACGGCAGCATTTACAAGAGGACCAGATCAAATGCCTTGTGTGAGAAAGCTGCTCTTGATTGGTCAGAATTTCCATGTGGGAAAAATCCAGGAAGTAAAGCAAACGTTGAAGAAGAGTACACTTGCAAGATAAATGTGACACTTTCTAATGTCACAATGGAGGGACAACTACGCAGGTTGATTTTAGCGCTGCTCATCGTGGACTATATTGCTGTCATTGTTCATTTTAGTCAAACCATACAGTTTGAAAACGAGGCGCGGCTCCAACTAGAAAACAATGTTTTGATGCATTGGATGTGCTGAATGTGCATATTAAGGAAGTACAGGAGGAGGTGCACATTAATAATCCTCCAGGACTGTAACATGCTCATGTTTAACCCAAACAATGTGTCATGTGACTGCAGTTGCTTCACATCCAGGTCGGAACACGTTCTCACCACAAACCAACCGCACCAGAGTTTGTTTGGAACCGGACTGAGACCACCTCTTCAAGAAGGTCTCAGTCCGGTTGTTTTGGTGCACACCTGAGTGTGATTGCTGTGTTCACACCTGCCCAAACGAACTGCACTGAGGGGGCAAACTAACCAAACAGTGCAGGTGTGGAAACACCCTAAAACAAACCTGAACGCTGCAGAGGATCATGACCTTTGAGAATTTATGACGCCTGCATTAAATATTACCAACAGGTTTCCTAATGATCAGCCAAGCTCTTCGTTGGCAGCGCTGCCGCTTCCTGTTGATCAATTTAAACAATTTGGGGACATGCATGTTTGAACAAACCCTCACTGATTTATGGCCAAATGTTGCACATCTTTAAAATACAACGAAAACAAAAGTTTGATTTGGTTGGTTCAGTGATGATGATCCACAGAAAAATCTGCCTACGATTCAGGAGATGTCAAAAATGTGTTTTTCAAAGAAATTAAATGGCAGAAAATCTAGTCAGGCGAACTTTGATGGTTGTTGATGTTTGATCATAGAGCACATTGAGCTGGACATGTGTGTCAAATTTAAACTCAGTGCGACATACAGTGTGATGTGCTCTGCAAAATAGATTTTTCAAAAACACAGAATCTGTTCCTGAAAGACCTGTCTGATGGTGACAGATGTAGAGTTGGTGTGTAAACACAACATGAGACCATATTTATTTTTTAAAGGCCGACACGTTCAAAGGGAAACATAGGACCAACTAGAGGTGACAACTTTTTTTCTGGACGAATCCTGTACGAGGACGATGGGAACATGAGAGAGAAGAGTCGTGTTCTGTAAAGGATAATATGAGAAGAGTGAATTCAATCATTCCGCTTAATTTATTCATTATACTGTAAGAAGAAACTGTTCACTGAAGTTACATTCTGTGTTGATGAAATGAAAAAAGATGAATAACATTACTGACTGTCTCCTGCCTTTCTTTAAATGTACGTCTGAAATAACAAACTAGTTTGCTTCCTATTGGATGAAGTGACGGGGAAAGAAGACGATAGTGAAGATACTACACAGAGGAGGAGAGCTGAGTACAGTACAAGTACCTCATAACTGTACTTAAATACTAGAAACTAACAGTACTTTCACTTGGGTGGAGTTTTGGCTGCTGTACAGCTCAATATTTTTTCCTCAAAGCTCACAGGGGGATAAAAATGCTGGTTAGCAACCAGAGAGCTGCTTCTGATGAAACATGGGTGTAACTCACACACAGACATCTTGATAATGGACTATTGTGTGTGTGTGTGTGTGTGTGTGTGTGTGTGTGTGCTATCTAAATGAAAATCTAGGGCAGAGCTTCACTGTGTCAAACACAATCTGTGGTAAACCTAGACACTGAACACATGCACATTTCTCTCTCTCTGCCTGCTTAACATCGTCTTTCAACACGAGAAAAATGAATTCACTGAAGGATCATTGAATAACTGAGGTACACGCACAGGAATTCATATTCTGTTTCTTTTATGGACATATTGACAGCCTGAAGTCCCTCCCATAACTGTAATTATCTGTGTGCAGCCGATGCATACAGTAGATTTACAGCTACAGCGAGGGTCTGCACAGTCGAGTCGAGAGAGTTACAGCTACAGCTAATGTCTGTGCAGTCAATGCAGACAGAGTTACAGCTAAAGCTAACATCTGCGCAGTCGATTCAAGAAAGTTACATCTACAGCTAAGGTCTGCGCAGTCAATTCAAGAGAGTTACAGCTACAGCGAGGGTCTGTGCAGTCGATTCAAAAGAGTTACAGCTACAGCTAATGTCTGTGCAATCAATGCAGACAGAGTTACAGCTAAAGCTAACATCTGCGCAGTCGATTCAAGAAAGTTACATCTACAGCTAAGGTCTGCACAGTCGATTAGAGAGAGTTCCAGCTACAACTAACGTCTGCAGTCAATGCATACAGAGCTACAGCTACAGCTAACTTCTGCGCAGTTGATGCATTCAGAGTTACAGCTAAGGTCTGCGCAGTCGTTTCGAGAGAGTTACAGCTACAGCAAACGTCTGCGCAGTCATTTCGAGAGAGTTACAGCTACAGCAAATGTCTGAGTAGTCAATACATACAGTTACAGCTTTAGCTAACCTCTGTACAGAACTACAGCTATAGCTAATATCTGCGCAGTCGATGCATACAGTTACAGGTATAGCTAACGTTTGCGCAGTCAATGCATACAGAGTTAGAGTTGTAGTTAACATCTGTGCAGTTGATACAGTTCAATTATTAATCTATCAATACTCTGGATGCTGTGCAGCAGTGAGGTCGCCATCTGCTCAGAATTTTCCCAGACTGTAATGTGTTCGGGTGCATAATCTATCATCATCAATATCTAAACAGCTGATGGCAACAAAAGGTTATTGATTAAGTAAAATTATCATCAATAGTTAATAATGTACAGTATTTGTTACATTTGTGTCTTTATCTTGAGCTTTATTCTTTTCCAGTTTATGATTATGATTTTATTAATCTGAAATGACATTATCTGATTATGAGACACTGTCTTTGTAATTACTCCTGCCATCATTTTTTGGGCGTTTGCATATCAAAGGATTAACACAGTGAGTTTCCTCATTTCTTCAGTTTAACCTCGTGACATTGATTAAAACATCATCAGTTTGTTCATTAACATACTCATTTTATAGTGTTGTGTTTTGTAGGCTTCTGTCAGCAGTAATGAATAGAACGTGTCATATTAGTTTGCAATATTCAATTACGGACTGACGCGCCTGGTCCGAGCACTAACTGCGACACCCCCTCTGCTGCTGTTTGTCCACGAGTTAAAGCAGCAGCAGACAGACTTCACACGGCTGCTTCTGTTGCCTCGGGGCTGACACAAGAAGGAAACCAATTTTACAATTTGGGGCAGCGCTGCGCTCCTGAACAGGGAACACACATAATCACACCACGGCCTGTGCACAAGTGGAGAAAGGCCTGCTGCAGTATTTATGTGTCTGTTAGGTTTACTGTGTCAACAGCAGACTCTTCTGTCTCTGTGGGCGCCTCAGTTTTCATGTCATGATTTGTACACAACAGCTGGCAGCAGATTCTTTCCCCACATTCACCAGCTTACACTGCGTACAGTTTGTACAGTAGATCACACCGCGCTGGACAGGAGGAAAATAACTGGTAGAAAATACTGTGAGAATCAAAATTGAGGACATTTTATTATTTGATGTCTGTATAATTTCAACATTTTTATGCAGCACTTTGCATACATTGGTTTCTTGTTTTTAACTGAATTGGTGAGGGTCGACTGTAGTTTTAAAATCCAGGCTGCATTTACAATAACAACAAAGTGAGTAGATTTTTAACACAATGTCACTCCCAACTCGTCAAATACTGACGCTTGGTCAGTGGCCCTACATGTCAAAATATGACGCTCTAGGTAGCCCTCTAAAGTCACTTTTGGACGTTCAGGGACAGCGTGTCTCTTTATGCTTGTTACATGCATGTGTCTTATTCAAAATAAACTCAGACGTTTAAGGGCTCCTGTTTACTGTGTTTATGGGAAGAGTCCTTAAGAACGCCCCCTCTTGTGGTATCCACCACCTCAGAAGGGGAATTTTTGAAAGCTCAAAGTTAACAAGTTGTGTTTGCTGACGATTCCAGAAATGATGGAGGCCATGAAAGTAAATTTTTATTTGGTGAGTTAAAATATTGTTATTTTAGTCAAACAGTTTTTATTCCTGATTTTATGATATGTCTGAGGAAAACGTTGATAATCCAAACAGCCTCATCTTTTTCCTGCGTTATGCCTTTGCATTTCCTACATTTCGCTCGCTAGCTTAATAAATTGTTGGCTTAGGCGGTGTCCATCTTGCAGTTTCTTAGCAGCGGTGTTCTCACGACTTAACCACTTGGATGTCAAGCATTTCATGTACACAACTTCCCATGTCATAACCATGAGCTGACGAGTTCCATTTATCCACTGCGTGCTCCGCCGTCGGTCAACACCCACCGGCTGCGTTTGCTGTGCGGAGCGGTGCAGCTATGCCGGAGAGCAGGAGTCACAAGGACCCATGAGATCTTGTGAATTCACGCATAATCACGCGATATATCAAGATGTAGTTTCTATAAACAGAACCACAAAACCAGAGGAGTAGTAGGAAGACATCTCGGTGCACCTCCATGATTAAAATCTCCTCGTCCATGGAGTCAACAGGGTGAAATGACGTCTGAAAGCCTCTGACCTGTTGACTTCAGGCCTGCCTCTGCCCATTATGTAGTTTTCAAGGTATAGTGCAGGGAAATATGATCCGCCGTGAACACTGTGTATTTTATTTTGAAAATTAACCGGATGTTTTATTTTGTTTCTGTGCACGACTTCCTGCCCCGCACGATCTGCTCTGTGCTGAATTGCTGCGTTGTGCTCTGGCATCCGGCAAAAATATAAGTCGTGCGTATCTGTTGAGGAGGGCTCCGGAGAGCCGCAGCTGTGACGGAGCCGGAACGCAGCACAGCAGCAGTCTGGTGGAATTTGGGGGTTAGGATTCTGAAAATAACAACAGAACATT